ACACCCCTCTACCGCGGGATACATCGCCCGTCATCAGAAGGACCGTGACGTGCTGTCTAAGCTAATGTTAATCCCTCTCTGACCAAAGCATATGAGCACTTGATCCGTGCAGAACACAGAACGAAGTCGGAATGTACAAGCGATGGAACATCTGGTTCATTTTGAGCCAGTGCAGGCCAGCCTCAACTGTGGAAGTTTTCAACCTTTTGCGACTCTGGACTTTAGCGACAATAGCCAATCGTGGTTGCCGAAATGAGTTGCGCACGTTTGATATAAAACGTGAGCTTGCTTGGGCAATAGCGGTTGAGTCGCACAATGGTGAAGCGCTGGGACCTTGTGGGAGCGTGTCGTACGTGGGAAGGCGTCAAGCCCCAGCTCGTGAATTGTCACACTTTCAAAGACTGTCGGTGAGGAACATTCAAGACCAACGGTAAGTTTGGCCAGTAACAAAACGCCCATATAAATAGGGTGGCATTGCTTCACACCCCACCACACCATACACTTCCTATCCCGCATTGGATGCCGCTGTTCGGTTACATGGAAGATACGCGAATAACAAGCACTAGTTTGATGGTTTGAAAGAGCCGCATCTTGTTGGGAAGAAGCAGCCCTAGAGCTACTTTACTGGCATCCGCTGTAAGGAAGATGTGGCTCTGGTGGTTCTCCCTTCCAGGCAGCGCAAGTGCCGTAGATCTTCAAGACGACTGATGAACATCATTTCTGCGGAATGAGCCGCTTTAGCCTAATTACAGGCTGTTTAAATGATGGATTAGAAAAATCTTACAAATAAAAGTTTGGTAGTAGGATAACAGAGCCTCTATAACTTTGCAAAGCCCTTGCTGGTGCGTAAATGCAAAACGGCTGGTTGAATGTTCATTTCAAGATCCGGCTTGATTCCGGCAGCCGAAACACGGGATTTAAGAAACATACTAACACTCATGAAATACTAAAGCTTGAATGCATTCACGTATATTGCTTGCGCTGCAGCAGCTGAAGCGCACGCCGGGGCTGCAGATGCCTGTACATTTTGCCTGAACAGTAAGTCACCATTTCTGTAGACAGCCATCTACCCCTCCTTGATACACTTATTAAACTGCCGATCAGCTTGTTACTACACTTTAGTTGAGGCATAAACACACTCAAGTGGGATACAGGCATTCTCGAATTTGCGAGTGCGACTATGGAATGCCGTTTTTGTGCTCGTAACCAGGCTGCATGGGGACTTGTAAGAGGACGTTAAGAAATTCAAATATCGAGTATAGTGTTGATCTGTGTATCTCGTCTAATTTTTATTGCATCAGAGGCTGGTATTTAACAATTACATCGTTTAGGGGCTCGAAGTTAAGGCACACGCTCCGCCTTCCGTCTTGAGCCAATGCCGCGACATGCCGCTAAAACGCTAGTCTATTCCTGAGCTTCACTCCCAGTGGGCGAATCAGCTGCCTGCCGTTCAATTTCCTAGTTATGTCATGGCGGCTCCCGGTAGAATAGCCCAATGCGTTGCACTACACGACCCGCAGGTGGCCAGCCTGCTGGCAGCTGGTGATTTCATAGCAAGACCACGGATTCGTTGCTAGCTGCGCTCTCCTGTTGTTCCTCAGCTGGAATCTCGCTAGCCTTTTTTAAACAAAAGTTATTTGTAGGACCATCATCACGTGATGCTTGCTCGGAACCGTTTCCTAGAACTGCTCTGCTGGGCTCCTCGCATGAAGAGTCCGCCTCACCTTATTTAGGCACCGACTCTGTGGTGCTTATCACAGGACTGAATGTTGCTGAAAAGACCAGCAGATGCTACTTCCTTGCCCTTCCTGGAATACGTACCCTCACAGCGCACAGTTGTGGCCGCATGCTTGCCCTCCATTGGATCACCCATGGAATACCTAGAATTTCAGTGCACGAGTCCATACAGAAGTCATGGACTCCCGTGACAAAACACAATTTTGAGTTTGAGTGACATTCAACTATCAGAGCCTTGACAATCCTTTTTTCCTGCCACCCGTTGGCAAACTTGAGTTCTAGGGACTACACTAACGAGTAATCATGCAGATTGCACTTCTGCGATGTGTCCTCGGATAGCAGATCCACTTTTCATCCAGTTTCAAGTAGCGATAGCAATTATTGACCGTGAGCTCTAGCTTTGTTCAGCGCAAAATCGACCCGCGGTGGATCTCCAACTGCAACTCTAGCCTTCGTAGACTTCTTTGTTTTACCACAGCCTGACGAGGGGGGCTTTGCGTTTCCCTGATACACCTTCTTTGCTTGCCGAAACACCCTGATTAAGCGGAACCTAATCGCAATGTTGAAGTCGTGATTATATCATGCGCTTGTAGTTCAGGATCACGTGGATGAATCGCCCACAATAGAAGCAGGAGCGTTGTTGGGCGGGCTGTTTGGGGTCGCATTGGAGAGCGGTATCCTTCGGCATTCTTGATCCCGTCCACCTTAGGCATAAGGATAGATCCACCGGACAAAAGTTTGACATGCAAAGATTCTATACCACGATTGGGCTTTGTTTTTCCAGCCGAAGACCCAGGAGGTGCGTTGAATTGCTCTTGAAGCCTCAAGAAGTCCTTCATTCGAGGAAGCCCCATCGGTAGGCAATGTTGTCGCTGAGGCGCTGTCCAACTTCCGACCGCTTCATCTGGCAAAGCAAGTAGAATTGAGAGAGGCCACTGGGATTCCGGCTTCTGCGATCGGCGTTTTACCTGCCAGAGATGTTTTTATGCTTTTTGTTATTCAGAGGTATTGATAGCTTCTTGTGCTTCAGCTTTTTCTATTCTCCCAAAGCTTGCTATCTAGCTGATCTTGGCATAAACAAATCAATCAGGGCTTGTATGGAAGCTTTATTTGTCGTAAATTTCCTCCGGTCAAACTAGTTCCTTCACCTGAATAGAGCTTCCATGCAATTGATCCTCCCTCCAAAAAACACAACGCAAGGAGCACTCGTTTTTCTTCATTCAGGAAGTACAAAGCAAGGTACATCTCCAACCGGTTGATAAAATCTAAGGGTACTTACCCCTCCTTAGAGCCGTTGGTATGACCTAAACAACATTTTCACAATCGTTGTATTGGCTGACAAAGCGTGACTTTTTACCAGCAGCACGTTCACATCAGAAAAAGCCAGTCTCTGCCGCCTTGACAGGCGTAGGGCCACCGTCTCCTTCCATTGCCATAAGGCTTTCCCCAGGCTATTGTCGCCGGAAGTTTATTCACTAAGCGGACAAATAGCTTGATCAAAACCAGAAAGCAGTTCTAGCCAGTGAGTAAGCTGAGAACAGCTGCTTCAAACCATACGGTGCTGCTAATTGTCACGCTTCATCTAAGGGGTAAGTAGGAGGGCATATAAATTCATAGTCTATATAGATTTAGTCGATTAGTGTATTAGTGTAGTAGCGAAAGTTCAGGTGTAGCTGAGCACGGTACACTGAGGAGGCACTGTACAGGAGGTTTTAGTAAAAGTAGTGCATACCGCCAGCCTCAGTGACCACAGCAGGAAGAGTTGAGGCCTTTCATCGCCTGAAGAAGAGCTTGCGGCTCTCTTTGGTTCATAACGCTAGATGAAATAGATGATATTCTCTGCGTTTCCAGCTGAATACACTATTCTCGCGCGCATTCCTTGCTTAAAATAGCGACCTTGATCAATGTTTATTATTGCTCCAGAATTTCCGGTTACTAATGTTAGGGTGTCCTTTACATTCATATTGATGCGCCTTTAAACCCAGTTACCTAACTACACGGGCCCTCTTCAATACGTAGACATTGTCTTAGGAGATGCGCAGGCGCTGTTGAACTAGTGTGTAGTTCGATCTCCTTCAGTGCCCCCCTTGTGTTCTGCGATCTCCCCGCAGGAGGCTCACAGATTTCAGTGCTCCGACGACAGCGAACCATCCATCCACCGTATGGGTTAGAGTGTTCCCTTGTTTGTTTTTGGCTGATCATTTTGCCTCCCTTCCCTTCTAGTTCTTTCAAAGGTAATGCCCACATGACTTTTCCGACTGCACCTTTTTCCTATTTTCTGCTTTCCTGTGTCTCCATAGACTGCAACAGAACACGAGGGCATGTGGTTGAAATGGAGAGGGGAGGGCGGGGGCTTCAGAAGTAGCGAGCTAAGCTACAGCTAGGATTTCCCTACTGTACTAATCATGAGTAAAGTTTTAACCAATCGGAATGCCTGTCCGTACATATATATATATATATATATATATATATATATACATCAATTTTTGCGTACTGGAAACTGCTGAATACGCTAAGATTTAATGTCGTATTTGCTCGTGGGCTACATGCTATGCGTAACTAGCGGTCAGTGCTTGAAGTACTTTGAGGATACAAGTAGGGGCTTCCTAGTTGTCCCTCTCCCCATATGTGGGAATCCTAAGAGGAGGGCAGCGGGGCAAATGAGGAACTGTCTTATGAAAAAGATTCAATACCTTTTTGCGTTTGGTTTAAGTCTACATTAAGTCTCCCCTACAGAGGCATATGGAGCATCGCGAACTTAGTCACCGTTTATTACATCCACACAGCTACGGAATTGATTAAGTAACAGTTCTTCTGTTAAAGAGGGTATTCTAGAAACTCCACACCACATAGGTGCAAACGGCTTAAAAGTATGAATTAATTATATATCAGAGATCATAGTTTTTAACTTCAAAGGGCTGACTGCTAGCTAGCAGCTACTGGTTGTCTGAAATAAGGGTAGGAAAAATTGCTAAGGCGCCACAACGATGGGCCAATAAAACGTAGCGTGCCCCAAAAGGATCCTGTTGCCGTTTTCTTAAGATAAAGAGTTGCAGGAAGGTGCGCTGCCCCGGAGGAGCAGCAAAAGGTTGCTGTTGCTGCAGGAGCAGCTCAAGCGCACACCCTTGACCCTGTGGAAGCATGTACATCGAACCCCAGCATAACACGTGCCCCGAAACAAATGTGCTCTGTGGTACACACTCTGTGCCTTTCGCAAACGTGGTGCTTACTGGACAGGATTTTGTGATAGGTCCTAGAATTCCTCAGTGCAACATGTCTGCTTCGAGGCCAAACAATTCATCCGGATTGTCTAGGCCACAGTGTCTCAACAGCTCATCGTGGGTGGGCAACGAAGGAGAGAGCGCGCACACAGATGGTTTTAGTGAGGGAGTTGAGGCCGCAGTACTGCTTAAGGGCGCGCTCCTGTCCCCCCAAAAGTACCCCTCAGTTTTCCGTAGCATCCCACCGGCTGCCCCGTACAGACCCTTGCCGCTACGGCAGTTGTTGCTGCTACAGACGGTGGAAAAGCCTTGTCTAGAAGGTGGCGGGATGAAGGCCAACAACAGTAGCTGCGCTAATCCAACGCAAAATCCTGAGGCGAAAAACCAAGCAGGAGCCACATGAGCCTGACATCGCTAGGTGAGACGACAGCAGCACTTTTTGCTGCATATATGACGAACGGCCTTGAGAATGCTTCACTTATATATATAGTCAGGCACGACAGGCTTCTACACTATTGCCCATAAGCATTCAGTACCTAGGAAGTTGGGAACGATGATGAATACATCTTCGGCGATCCAACCGTATGCTAACCACAGAGCAGAGCAGGTGAAATTGCCAATAGAAACCTCCGCAGGCATCATCGCGGTGCTCTTCTCCTTTAAAACGACCCGCAAGGCAGCGAGAGGTGCCGCGTACGACACCACGTTAACCGCAGCTGCAACACTCAGTAGCAAGGACACGCATGTAGAAGTGATGCAAAGGACCAGTACAGTAGAAGAAGCTCCTGTAGGCAGTGCGTACGCATTGCGCAGGCCGGCACTTCTAAAGGTGCTTAAGCTGCGTCTGCACTCAAGCCCTCAGGGAGAAGCGAATGGACGCACTAAGCAGCATTGAACACCAAACCAGCAGGCGAAAGGATCATACGGAAACGACACAGTGGCTTCGAGACCGTACACAGTATAACAGCCGACAAGGCGAGCCACCAAAAAGGGGTATACCCAGAGCAGAGTATTTACACAGGGCAAGAAAGGAATTCGCCAAAGTGAACACGGAATGACATGATGAAGAGACCCAGATACATAAGGAGGTGCGGAGCAAGGTGAAAGAAGAAGTCGAAGAAAGAAAAAAGCCACAGGAACATGTGGCACCGGTGGGGATGCGTCTGCTTACACGCGACAAGCCCCACGACGAGTTCAGCAAAATCGTAAGGGCAGCATACGCAAACGAGGCAAAGAGCAGCAAAGATGATACCCCCAACTTTCAGGTATAGACCAAGCAGGAAGCGTTGCTTATCCTCTCGACTCGTGTTTGCCCAGAATGTCAAGACAAACCAACCCCCTGCATTAAGAACACACATTCACATGCGCAGATAAGCCCGGCATCGTAGTTTCCCCTAGCACTGAAGCTGCGATCACATGCGCTAGCACTGACGGAGGGTAGAAGAGCCATCTGGTGAAGCACTACTGAGCAGTAGGCTTTGCGATGTCCGCCCGTAGCCAGTAGAGGTCGAGTTCGGGAATGATACGCTCAGATACCTGCAATGACTCCCGAAACGTTGGGAAGCAGAATCGTAGGCTCGACAAGAAGAATGCCGTAAAGGAGCCAGAGTGAAGCGGAGAAAAGGAGACTGAAATACGGCAGAGAGGCCATGCCAAGGGTGCTGCGACATGAGACGATTCTGAAGCCAGAGAGTCAAAACAACAGACAAACCGAGGTGATGAGAGAGGGCTGTAGGCAAAAAGGAGACACCACATGGAGTTGCAACTCCATCAGCAGCATGCAGTAGCAGCAGCACACAATGGGCAAAGAGCAGCAAGCAAAAGTAGGCCACACTGTAGTAGTCGCAGTAGCATATACGGAAAAGATAACCCACCTGGCAATGGTCGGTAGAGGAGTGAGCTGCATAAGTACTGCAGAAGCGACAGCAGCAATGCGGATGATTCCTTTAAGACGATCTCCAACTGCCGCTGGCAAGGAACTGAGAGGAGAGAGTGGAGTACCGAGGAAAGATGTGGGAGTATTCTCGGTGACCTCCTCCCCATATGGTTCCTCTCCAGTGGCCGCTACTGCCTCAGTTCGTGTGATACCTGTTATTGCTGTATCAGTCACTGAGGCTGCCGCTGAGGGATCGAAATTAGTAACTGCTGCAGGCTGTGCTGCGGAATACTGGCCAGCAGCTGCTGTAGCACCTTGCAGCAGCTGAGTAGATATCTTCCCCGCAGCAACGGCGGCAGCAAGTGCCGATGTTGCTGCCTCCTCGGCGCTGTCGGCTGCTGCACGAGCGGCGGCAGTGTCCTGGGGCTGCTCTACGGTTTGTGGAAGAGATGCAGCGGGTCCGGCTGCTGCCGCCATAACGGCTGATGCTGCAGTCTCTGCAGCGGACGGCTGGCTCACTGCAGCTACGAGCTCATCTGTGCCAGATTCATTCTCTGACGATGTGACGACAGCGGATGATATAGCCGGATCAGCAAGCTCTACTGCGGCAGGGGCAGCAGGTGCGACAAGCACGGCAGCTACAGGGGCTAAGTATTCCACCCCATCGGTTGCTGCAGCGCTTGACGAGCCCGACGGTACAGTAGAGAGGATTGACAAGGCGTCTTGTGCTGCAGATGGTGCAGCAAATAGAAATTGCTGCAGCACCAAAAGCAACAGCAGCAGGTGCTGCCACTGAAAGCTGTTGCTTCGGCTGTGACGAATCATCGCTGGGCGCCCAGCCTGACTGTGCCACAGAGGGTCTACACCCTTCGTAGGCTAAGGCAGCACAGCAGTATAAGACTAGCTTCCGCTGCCACCGCTGCAAGCACACCCAAAGGCTATACACTACCAGAGGCCGGAGCTACATCGGATGCGGCAGCTGTTTCTACGAGGCTGCACTGCTGCTGATGGTGTTGCGAACTGCTGCGACAAGAGATAATTCAGTGTACAGCAGCGACTCTTTCTGCCGCCCTTGATGATGAGTCGATACTCAACGCCGTTGTTGAGTTCGCATCGGCGTGCTGTCCTTGGTTCCCGCCGCTGGCGCCGCAGCTGGAACTGCTTCAGCTTCCGACTCCTGAGATCGGAGAGATTCGTGTGATAGAGTCTAAGAAAGACGAAGGAAGAGAAATTAGTAGCAACGGGAAGATAGCTCAGTTTCTGCTCCTACTGGTGCTGCTGAGCGCTAGCAGGCCGCTTGTCCTGCTATGTCCTAGCAGCTGATATTATGTTACCGCCCCGCAGAGACGGCAATGAGGAATGGATTAACTGCTTATGATCAAGGAGTGGCGATTCATCTGGCGTTGTTCTTCCTTCTAGCTCCCTACGGCAGCTGCACTTGCCAGGCGACTACCTCCGGAGGCCACACGCAGCAGCGTGTCGATGCAGAAGGATTGCTGCTGCCCGGCTGCCGCTGCGTCTGCCGATGCAAACTCTGCCCTTTCCAAGAAGAAACCTTGATACGAAAGTGTTTTATTGTTACGGTCGTGTGATTGGGCGGCAGCACTGGCAGCAGTGGAGTGTGTTGCTATCGGTGCTACAGCTGCAAAGGGCCTTTCTGCTCGTGCAGCTCTCTGCTTCCAGCTTGAGCGGGGGCTGAAGGCGGGAGTTGTCGCTTCATTTCCTCGTACATAGCAATATAAGTATTGCAGAGGCACTTTTATCTTCCCCCTCCGTTCTGCCCCGCAGGGCAGCGGAAGACTAGGGGATCTCAGTATCGATTGTCTGAAGCAGCAGCACTGGCAGGGTCACCCGCTTGAGCCACGGGCATATCCGCGATCTAAGGGTACCCAAGCAAAGCCTTATACGCAGTCGCAGCAGCAGCAAGGAGCAGACAGAGGGATTCTCCCCCGCAGCCTGGAGACATCGCAGCGTACTGAAACAAAGCAGCACACTCATCGTTGACCTTGGACCGTTGCAACAGCAGCACTGCGTACTGCAGCAGTATGGCTAGCACACTTAGAAGCTCTCTAAGTAGTGGCGGCAGCAACAGCAACTCTCAACACAGGCTCCTGGCGAGGTCTATATTGCCCATTTGAACGCAATGCACCCATCGAGTCCGCCGACGGCGCAAACTGCAGCTAGCCGCGGTTCTGTCGTGCAGGAGGAAGTGGAACCATTATCCGCGATTCATCCTCTCAGCCGGAGTACCACCTGCTGCAGCAGCCAAGGGTGCTTAAGTGAGAGCAGCAGCAGGAGAGATACTAGGGAGACCGAAGCCCTTTTGAGAGTAGCATTGCAACCTGCAGAGGTGCTGCTGGATCGGACAACGGCTCTGCTTGCTGCCTTAGCTGAGCCGGAGGTGTACAGAGAACACTGGAAGGAGGTTGGGCTAGGCACCTGCAGTGGCAGCACCGGCAGTAACATCAACTTCAATAACCGTCGCAGCAGCAGTAACCGAACCTTTGCATATGGCAGCGGCAATCAACAGCAGGGCCGCTACAGCTGCAGCGGGAGCAGCTGCAACATTGCGGTACCCGCACCAACAGAGGGGCCTCTAGTGGATTTGTTGCCTCTGTTTTTATCGCGAACCGACCCAGCAGTGGTAACCACGACAGCAGCCGCGGAACGCCTCAATTTCTCGCCCGTTGCTGCTGCCGCTGCTGCAGTGCCACCGAAGGATGCAGACGATGTGGTTTGCTATTGCCTGCGGCTTGGGTTTCTCAGGCAGCAAGCAGAAGCAACACCTGGGGCTGCTGTCCCAGGAATTGCAGCTGTTGAGCCTGCTCAGCAGAAACAGGGGTGGCAGGCGGAAGGACCACAAAAGGAGGAGCAGCAACTTACGGCTTCCGTCGGTCGCTGTAGTTGCTGCTGTTGCAGCCGCTGCAGCGAGCGCGAAGTAGCATCTTTACCGTTTGCGCCGTGTCTTTTCGACAGGCCAGCAGCAACGGAGACACTGGAGCAGCAGCAGATGGAGGCTGCTGCTTTGACGCAGGACGTTCTGGCATATGACGTTCCTCCTGTGGCTTTTATGGGCCCCCCTCCAGCATGGATGTCGATACACTTAAGGAGAGACGAGGACGCTTCAGCAGAGGCAGGAGCAACAACAGCAACAGCAGCAGAAACAGACGCTCTCGCGGCGGCCACGGCGCTGGGGGCAGCAGGGGGGGCACCAAAGGGAGCCTCAACAGCGAAGACAGCAGCAATCGCACACGACACTGCCGAGGCTGCCAGTGTCGCCGGCTCATTTGAGCCTATAGCATTCCAGACACGTCTGTATGGGTACCACATCGGCCGGCGGTTTGCCGCTGCAGCGCGGGATTCGGCATTGCTGTTGAGACAGCGGCGGCAAAGTCGTGCCGCTGCAGCAGTGGCGGCAAAGGCAGCAGCGTCCGACTCTCAGAGCAAGACCGCCACAGTCTTGCCGCCTGTTGGGCAGGGAGGCGTTGTGCAAAGAAAATCATGGCTTAGCAGTTGCTGTGGCGATGCCAGCAGAGATCGTTGCTCCGTGCTTTGTATGTGCAGCTGTTGTGCCGCTGCTGATGCGTTTTTGGGGCTCCTGGAGATGGACCCCCCAACATTTGTTGCAGTGGACGATGGCAGCGGCACCAGAAGCAATTGCTGCTACTTGTATCAGGCTGGTGCAGTATCCTCTGCGAGCAGCAGTAGCAATAGCAGTAGGTGTATTGGAGGAAGTAGCAGCAGGACGGCGCGCTCATCTGTGCTCAACAGAGAAGGTGTGTGGCTATTGCGGCCCTCATCTGGGGGTGAGCCTTTTGCTGCTCAAGCAGTACTGCACCTACGCATTTCTGGACTGCTACTGGCACATGCTGCCCAGCGTCGCCAGCTCCTGCAGTGCCACTCAAGCAGCCACGCGAGTAGGAGTGCAGATGGTGCGCGGCTCTGTTGTTGCTGCTGTAATGGCAGCGGCAATGTATGGATGCAGCAGCATCAGCAGCTGCAAGATATGTTGCAGCTTCTGCAACGGTGCGGAGAGTTACAACTAGATGTGTCTCTGGTGAAGCTGCTACTGTTGGACGTACACCGCACACACCCGTGCGAGCCAACACCTCGGGCACTGCGCCGCCTAAGGAGGATGGCCCTCACTTGGTTTCGGTCTAAGAAGATGGCGTTATTGCTGCAGCAGCAGAAACAGGAGCAGAAATTCTTATGCACAGGCTCAGAGCCATCTCTTGGAGCAACGCTGCAGCAGGATGGATCAGCAGTAGCAGCAGCACAAACAGCAGAAGGGAGTCCTAGCAGCAGGAGGGAGACCCACGGTACTTCGAACTATGCTTCACGAGTTCTGTTGCCACGTGATCGTCATTTCCTTCCAAGCCTGCCACAGCAGACCCTGCGTGTTTTATTGGCAGACGCCGCAGTCGAGGGTGGGTAGACACCAAAGCCTTTCCGTCTAAGATATACAGTTGCCACCTGCAGCCACCATATATCTATTCAGGAACTGTTAATGTGTGTAGCCACGAAAGTGCTTAGGCAGCTATACGTTGCTGGCAGCTGGGGAGTAGGCTAGTTTGCCGTTCATTGACAGTGACGCCCTTTGACTGTAGAAGTGCTGCGAGTTCGTCCAAGGCATGCGTTAGCCATGGCTTACGGGGGGATTGGAAGCCTTCTTTGCTATCGCAGCCTGATACGGGCAGATTTGCTGAAAAAGTGGCTCAGTTAATCACCTGTGGCAGGTAATGCACGAAGTATGTTGCATACGTCCGTTGTGGTGCTTTTACAGCCTCTTACGTATCAGAGCTCTGCGCTCTCGCCGACAGCCTTATTCGCCGCCTCTGTGAATTTGCTTGCCCCTCAAGTGAGAGCTTCTGTTTCAGACCTGAAACAGCAGTAGTACGTGGAACGAGCAGTGGAAGCAGCAGCAACAAGACCAACTGCGGGAGTTGCGAGCAGCCTGTGGCCATAGGCTTGCGTTGGCGGGAAGACTTTTTCAGCTTTGAGCTGTATGCTGCTGTAGAGCAGCGGGGAGCACCGATGGAGGGAATGGTTAGTAGGGACACAGAAACGTGCTGCTGGAAGCTAATGAGACACGAAGTGCTACAGCCTTGCGTCCTGGATGCGGTTTCCATACATCTGACCTTCTCTGAGGCCCTCCGCCGGCTTGCTCCCTGGCTGCAAGTGCAGCCGCGGCTCTTGCAGCTGCTGCAGCAGACCTCAGAGGGGCAAAGGGTGTTAGTAGCTGCAGCTCTGCGGTCGTGCAGCTTTATTCAACGCCCTCAACAACAGCAGGAGGAAAGCCAGCGGCAGGAGTTGGTAAAAGGCGACCAGGCGGCATTTCTTGACCATCCCCTGCTATGTCATAAAGGCAGCGAAAAATTTCATTGGACTGAAACAGATTCTGCTTGCCAGTGGACTGAACAAACTTTACATAGTCATGCTGCAGGAGCGATGTCTGACGCTCCCGCGACTAGTGAAAGGGTGAGGGCCCTCAACCTTGACGAGGCCGTGCAGCGGCTGGCCCTCCTCAGTAGTCCCCTTGCGGACTCACCAACTGGTGACATCGCTGCCCTAAATTCCATGGTGGAAGAGCAATCGAAGCAAAATTCGCAGCGTGAGCCACTTAATCAATGGGAGCATCAGCCTGTACTGCGTGAAACGGAATTAGTTTCTTCAGGTGCGAGGACTTCAAGTACAGGGCAGGTATCTACATCCGTTGCACAGAGCTCGATATCTGAATGTCATGGAGAGCGAGGGCGGAACTATCAGTGCACGGCACCGGAAGCAGAAGACCTCGTGGCATCGTATTTCAATCACGTGCGGCAGTTGCATGAGGCTCACTCTTTTAGTGACCGCGTGTGCAGTTTCGGCAGCACCGCCGACTGTCTTGATATCTCCTCAGTATGCACAGTAGCCCTTCGGCTGCTAGGAGCGGATAAGAAGCATCAGTATTGTGATATGCTGACGCCCACTAACCACTGCTACTGCAGCGTCAACTGCTCAGCAGAGGGGAATATATTCGGGGTAGCTACACAAAGCACCAAACCTGCCTCTATTGGTCTTCTAAAAGCCATACTGCCGCTCCCTGAGGATGTACACGTGCAGCGAGGAAAGCAGCAGCGACACCATAGGCCCGGATTTGCTTGTGAATATATTGGCGTGACGGATGTAGCCACAGGAGATACACTTACAGTTTCCCTTTTGCTAACGCTTCTGCTACCAACGCAGCGGATGCTGCTTCCTTGGGATATCCACTGGGCACCCCGGACTGCAGGTCTAAGTTCGACCGAAGGAGCTGCAGCAGAAACGGAAAGATTAGTGTGCACAGCAGAGCCAACTCGACACAGCTTACCAGAGTGCATGAGCCGCAGGAGCACGGCCTGTGGCGTTTCACCCAGCAACGGGGGATGGTGCTGTGGCAGGACCTGTATTTGCAGCTGCTGCAACGACAACAGCAGTTGTGCTGACGATGCTTCTTCTGAGTGGCAAAAGGCCTCAAGTGTCATTCTTTCAGCCAGTCCTGGCGATCTCGGGCCTACCACGGAGGTATTTCAACTTGTATCAGATGTTCTTGGGCCCCTTCTGTTGCCAGCGCAGCAGAAACAGCAGCATTGTAAGCTTATGCAGCAATCTGTTGGCGCCGAAGTCTCTGGTCCTCAGGAACCACTGCGGACTCCATTGGCGCCTCAAGGAGGCCAAGGAGAAGAGAGTTCGGCTAGTAGCACAGCAGGCAGCAGTACTGTTTGGGCCCGGACCGTCAGTGGGGGTGTTTCCCTCAGGGTCACATCAGCCGAGGAGGCCAGCAGCAGCCTCGAGAGCGATAGTGAAGGGGCACCTGTGTCCCCCTTCATGCAGCAGGAACGACAGCAGCAGGGGCCGTTGCCCTCAGCAGGATCCCTCGTACTCCCGCATAGCCTAGCAGCACCACAAGGAGATGAAGGCTGCGGTGGCCCAGCAGACTGCGCGATCAACAGCAGTAGCAGCAGCAGCAGCAGCATTGTAGCTGGCGCAGAGGACTCTTGTGGTGTGATGATCGATGCCTTGCGAGACCTAGTAGGCTTCGTTCGCATAGGGGCAGAGGTGGACGTGGGCTTCCCCATATCTGCCGAGCTGCTAGAGGAGGCAGGCGAGGAGCTGCACGCTATTTGTAGAGGTAAGTAGGGGCAGCAGCAGTTGGTTATACAAAAAGGTACCCCGGTGGTCTTTTATGGCTGTGGCTTTAGTGTTGCTACAATCGAGGTAGTGAGGCCAGCGGCCTACGCACAGCTGAAATGCATCACAACCTATCGCAGCGGTGGCCGAGGTTTAGTTACACTGTCTTAAGCTAACAAGCAAGCTATGCAGTCACCAAATAAATGGTCTTTTCTTTTGCGGCTTTTGTATGCAGTAGGTGCAACCCAAAGTCCCCTTTCCCCGGGTACACCTTCAACAGATGCAGGAGTGACAGGAGCAGGCAGTGGTGGTCTGACACAGCAAGCTCAACTGCTAGATGTGAGCCTTTCTCTGGAGGCACCTGATGCGGCTGAAAGGTGTCGAGCAACCTCTCTGTGGTCTGAAGGACCAGGTTTGCAGCAGCAATCTGAGCTAAGGCTGCTGCCAGCGCTTTTTGCGGGTCTATATTACACGGGCGCGACTGCAAAACGAAGGCTTTTCCCTCGGCATCGTATTGTTAGCGCGGTGGCAGCTGGGGGGCCTGTGTCTGGCAGTGCTTCTCCACGATCTCGAAACCGTAAGCAGCAAACTTTAGGAGCACATCACAAGCAGCAACAGAAACCGCAGCAGCAAGCTCCTTTACACTGTTCCGCAGCTTCTCTGTCCTCAGGACAAGACGGGGGATTATCTGACCGTTCTGTTCTAGCAGGCAAGACTAGCAGCGGCAGCAGCCTTGCTCCGGGGGGCAAGACTTCTGGGCGCAGCAGCAACCGCAGCGGTAACAACACCCCCACAGGCGTTTACTTTGATGCAGCCAGGCAGCTGTGGAGATGCCAGTGGCGCTCAGAGGGGAGGCTTCGCAGCAAAGGATTTGCTGTTTCCAGGTACGGCAGCTCTGAAGAGGCTAGAGAGGCGTGTATTGCTTATCGGGAACTCGTCGTGCATGCGGGAACAGCAGCAGCTGAAGCTGCTGCAGAAGCTGCGGCAGCAGGTGCCCGAGCACTGATGGCAGCTGCTGCTGATGGCGAGCATCAGGGACCTGAGCAGCTTCACCTTGATAGAGCCGCTGCGCCAACCGCTTTGGAAGCAGCAGGAACAGATGTAGCAGCAGCAGAACGTCTAGAGCAGCACGCTCGGGAAAGATCTACTCAGTGGTCGGCAGTGGGTAGCAGCGTCAGCAACGAGGAGGGCATCAATCTGCCAGCGTCGTTATATCCACCTGTCAGCGAGCCGGCTAGCCATCCCACAGCAGCAGCATCAGGGGCTGGAACTGCAACATGGGCGCAACCTATAGCAGTACAGCAGGCAGCCGCGAAACAAAGTACAGCAGAGGAGCGGCGTTTGCTAGACGCAACCATTAGCAGTAGTAACAGTAAGGGGGCAGTCGTGTCTGAGTCCGTTTTTGCTGCTCCCCAATTTGCCTCTACAGCGGTGCAGCCGCCTCTTACTACTGCAGCAGCAGTGACTCAATTGCAGGGTGAGCGGTTCCTTGAAGTTGCAGGTGATATCTTGTCCCGTCTTAACCGGACAAAGGAGGTGGCGGCTGTGGAGAAGCTGCTGCAGGAGCAACGCATGCAGCTACAGCAGCAGACGCAAGAGCATCAGGTGCTGCAGCAAGAGCATCACATGCTCCAGACTGCAGCAAAAGGCTCGCCCTTAGTGCCTGACCCCGATGATCAGAAACTTAGGCAGCTGTTGGTTTCTTATTTGGAGGATGCGCTGCAGCAGCAACAGCAGCGGATGCAGCAGCTGCAGGTACTGGGCGATTTGGATCCAAGACAGCACCAAGGATCCGTTGAGGAAGGTACACTGCACCAGCAGCAGATGCTGCTTCACCGAGTCGCCACTCTAAGCAGGCAGGCAGTGCAACAACTGCAGGAGGTACTGCAAACATTGCTACATCAACCGCTGCAACAGCAGCATCAAGACGAACTAAGGCAGGTCGCTAGCCAGCGTGCCATCCCTGGGGAAGGGTCTGCACAAGCAGTAGGGATGGCAACAGCAAAGGGAGGGGAGCAGCAGCAGCAGGGGCGTACGCGGATACTTACTTTAGCACCATGTATCCTGGAAGGGCAAAACAGGGAGGACAGCGGGAACACAGCAGATCAAGGAGACGAGGGTGCAGCGAAACGCCTGCGTGTAGCCCCGGACAGTGTATAACAGGTTTATAGTGTTGAACAGGTTGTCTTGTACTGTTTTGGTTTGCCACTTTGCGGATCCTACCCCGCTTTCTTCTGTGTGGAAGCAGTTCTTCATCCTTTTGATCACATCTGTCCTGACAACCATACCTGTGTTAGGGTTGATGCTGTATGTGGCTCTGTTGGCCCAAACGGTCATGTAGCCGTTGAATATGTGTATGTCCATCATTGCTGTTTGCTGTAGCAGCAGATACTGATGCTGTTATTGATACTGTTGCATGCTGGGCTGCTGCTTCCGCTGAAATCCTGCTGCCTTATGTGTGAGGCAAGCTCAGCATGGAATATATAGCATCGGGTGCTGACATCCTCGACGCTGTCGGTGTCTGAGCCTATCATCCACAGCAGGAACAGGAGGAGCATCGACTTGTGCTCTTGTAGGTGTATCGTCGGCGAATCTGCATGCGTGTATTACGTAGGATCTTGGCGGTGTATAAGAAGTCAAATGTAGCAAGCTTGTGGTATACAGCCCTTTGAAGGCTTACCACTGCGCAGCAGTAGCCGTCTTTGTTATCCCATCAGGTTTTGCCTGTCAACTCCATTGGAGGTGGCGCGGCTCTTTCATATCTGTTCCCTCAATTCAGACTGCTTGATTGTACGAGATAGACAGAGAGCTAGAGAGTACAGGCTACGAAGGATGAAACAACAACGTGTCTTAAAGGCTGTGCCATAACATGAGTTACTCCCAGTGTGGCCGTCCAGACAGACATTCCCGGGAACTGACACAAATCCTTGAAGGGGCGGTCTGTCAGGGGTGCTACCGTGAGCCATACTTACTGCAAAGACGCGTTCCTATGTTACAGCATATCGGCGGGCCTGCCTCTTCAGTATAAAACTAGAGAATCGGGCGATAGAAGGCTGCTTGATTGGCAGCAGTTTTGGGGCCCAAGGCTCGGAGAATGGAGTTGTAATGTAAAGCCCTTCGCATTAACGAGTTCACTGCACTACAGGAAAACATGAGTGGCCATAACACTAACAGTGCTCCAACGCTGCGCATATCGGTCCTTCGACATGCATTCTGGCTGCTACACGTAAATACTGGGCAATATTTACAACTCATGTGTGGAAGTTTGGGAACGCAACCATGGGAAAATCATCTAGAATGGCGTCAAAGTTTCGAGAATGAAAAGAGGAAGGTCACACTATGTGCATGGAAGCAGAGCTACGATGCTGATACCTCTTAAGCGGGCAAAGCACAGGCAACAAAGGCCAGTCAGCAGCAAACACCGCACAAAAGCTGTTCTTGATATGCATATAACAGAGCCGCTGCCAGAGATATATTAGCGAACGGACGGTGCGGCTGGCAGAACCCGAAACATCAGCTCTTCTACATTGCAAGACATGCAGCTACCCCTACTGCAAAGAAGGCTTCCAGCTCCCCTTTGCCAAATGCGCATGAATAGAATGAGGTGCGTCACATCGCGCACAGTCGATGCAGTGCAGGTGCTACCATGGGCTGTTAAAGGAGAGTGTGGACTCCTGATAGGAAAGCACGGGGCAATATTTTCCCCCCCTCCACTGCAGCCCCACATCCTAGCATCTGCGTCCTCCAACTTCATGCATTGACCGTGAGATCTAGTGTCCATATGCTATATATCCCATAGGGCATCAAGTTAGTATAAAGCACTGTGCCGTTGCGTCGTGCATTCCGCCAAAAAGGGGCACAACAGCAGGTGGAGCGTGGCCATTTCGATTTGCAGGAGCCCTGTAGATTATGGTGACCACCTCAACACGTACATAAACTCTTCAGGCAGGCAATGCCTTTGCACCGTACGTAAATAACTACTCATAACCTTCCCCACTTTCCAGAGAAGCAAACCTTAGGAGACTTGTGCCACGGGACGGTTTGGCCATCTGGTCTCCACAATAAATCTAATCCAGGCCCCGCCATTGCTATTATCACGCTGGGAGCAACTGAGGGCGCTCAAAACAGACGTCCTCCGCAATTTTCCCACAAGAGATTCTCCCTCTGTTGGGCCCTACTACGGCCCTATCGTCGCCTCACTACAGATGCCGCCCACCAGCTGCTTACACCATACACCTGTGGAATTGGAGAGCTGTTCTGAACGGCTTTCTTCCTAAACAGCTTTGAACATGAATTAAATTTCCGCGGCTTCGTGTCATGTCCAACAGATATCAAAGAGACTATCCCTCTGAATCGTCTACACTAATTGCGCCTCTCTGCAGCAACAACAGACTCATCCTATTCGGATTTTCCAAGTTCTCTGCATTTCTCGCAGGAAGCCGGACCATACGGGTGAAGCTGCTGCAACTGATGCGGCCGCTTCCTCTGGCTGTGGCAATGCATGCGCAGCACCTCAGTGCAGCAGCGCAGCAGCTGGTGTTGCGCATTGTCCCCTCTTTTCTTTAATGGCTTGTATTTAGTTTTGGGGAGGAAACAACGCATATACGCTGTTGCTGCTGCCTCTACAGCAGCAACATACTCTTAGCATTAGGTCCTAAAGAGGAGCCTCGTAAGAGGCCTTCACCTCCCTTCGATTGTAATTCTAATCATCTGAAGCTTCCTGTGCAACACGGGCTGCAGCGGCTGTGAAGCCTGCAAGTGCTACGGACAGGACTGACAGCCCACATCACAGGTAACTGATGCGGAGGCTGCACCAACGGAAACGGTAGCAGCAACGGGAGCACGTGCAGCGACAGCAAGTATCAGGCGTGCCGATCCTTCATGCCTGATGCCACGAAAAGAGCTACGCCGATGCAACAACGGCAGATGGGCGGTCACAGGACAGGCGGAGGAACGGGAGTCGCTGCTGCAGCACAGCACAAGCCACACCAGTACGTAGCAGCAGCAGCTGCGATAGCAGCACCCGACGCAACAGGCCTCCGACAGCCTTCATCAGCTGGAAGCTGTACACCTGCCGCTTGTGCTGCAACTCCGACGGCTGCAGCTGCTGCAGCCTCTCTTTTGTCCCCGCCGCGAGGACCAGGAGGGCAGAGCAGCGAAGTTGCTGCAACACACGAGATGCAAGAGTTGCCTTGCAATGCCGCTGGTGCTTCTGAACGGAGAAGCAGCAGTAGCAAATCAATGTGCCCAGCAGCGGGAGAGACAGCCACAGATGCTGCGGATGGCCTCAGCAGGTGCACCACCGCTGCAGCTGCCGCACCGGCGCATGCGGCCAGCCTCGAAGTGCAGCGGCAACAACAACAGCGGCAGCAGCAGCAGCAGCAGCAGCCTCCGCCGCTAGCTGGGGAGGCGAGTGCAGCATCCCCCCCCCGCAACAACACTTCGTCAGGAATTTTTTCTGCTTCCGGTTCAATTGCAGGGAAACCATCAAGCGAAACAGGAGCAGGATCGCGAGGGGAAGAGCTCGAATGCAGTGTGTGTCTGGTGAAGGGTTCAGAACTTCGCAACCTTGTTCTAGTCTGCAGCGGCTGCGGTGCTGCAGTTCATCAGTATTGCTATGCTCTCTTTGCCGCTCCAGAAGGCCCGTGGCTGTGCTGCCTTTGCGTCTGGAAGCAGAAGCAGCAGCAGCAACAGCAGCAGCAAGTGGATGCACCAGCTCTTGCTGCATCTGCAGCCTCAGCCGGCGAAATGATTCTTCCCAAGAGACCCTCCAGTGCTTCGTTGCAGCAGCCCTCTCAGCTAGGCGCATCAGCAAGTAGCAGAAGCATCTCAGAGGTGTGCCGCCTCTGCCTGAAGGCCGGGGGGGGGGCCATGCGTATTGGGGAGGAACGCCTTTGGGTGCACAGCTGCTGCGTGCTGTATGCTGTTGGAGGACCTTTCTTTAAGCAGCAGCTGCACTTAGACTCGCCCACTGCAATTGCGTCCTCCGTATCATTGGCTGCAGCAATGCAGTGGGTATGCTGTCTCTGCGGCTTGGGGGGCTTTCCTGTGAGCTGCGGCTATCCTGGCTGCAGCAACCGGCTGCACGTCACCTGTGCCAAAGCAGCGAACTGCTGCTGTTGCTGCTGCTCTCTGTGGTCTGGGGATGCTGAAGGGATAGGCAGAGAGGCTCCCTGGCGCGCTGTATTCTGTAAGCAACACAGCAATGCTGCAGCCGTCGGTGTTGCCAAACAAAGCCGCAAAAAGGCCCTCTTTGGTAGTCTTCAGCCGACAGTGGTGGCTTCGGAGGACAGTGTAGGGGGATCTTCAGCAGCTGCCGGTGTAGGTGCAGCAGCGAAGGTGCAGCAGCAGCAGTTGCTGCTGCACGATGCGCCGCAGAAGCAACTGCAGCACGAGCAGCGCGATGGTATTACTCAACAGCAACAGCAACAACAGCAGCAGCAGCAGCAGCAAGTCCCCTTTCAGCTGCCTTCCCCTATAGCCCAGCAGATGTTTGCTGTCGCCAGTCTGCCAGGCCAGCAGCAGCAGCAGCAGCAGAAGCCACCCCTGACTCCACAACAGCAGCTGTATGTTCACCAGCAATATCTGCAGCAGCAGTTTCTGCAGAAGCAGTACTTCCAACAGCACTTGCTGCAGCAACACTATCTGCAGCAGCAGCTGTTTCAGCAGCAGCAGCACCTGTTGCAGCAACACTATTTGCATCAAAAGCAGCAGCAACAGGAAGCCGCCTTGGCAGCAGACGGCACAGCTGTAGCAGCAGATGTAGGAGATTCTTCCGTCATCAACGGCGGCCACTCTCCAGCGACGGGAGCTGCAAAGGATGCTTCCAGTGCTTTAGCGAGTTCATGTCCAGCCCTGCAGCCTGCCTTGTCTTCTGCTGCGTCTGACCTAGCGGCAGCACTTGGTCCGACTTCTCAGGGGCGGCAGCAGCTTGCGCAAGTACAGCAACAGCAGCAGCAGCAGCAGCAGCTCCAGCAGCACTTGCAGCTCCAGCAGCAGTTGCAGCAACAGCAGCAACTCCAGGCTATGCGATTAGGGGTCACCGCAGCATCTCCAGCCGCAGGTGCTGCTGCTGCAGCAGCTGCTGCGGCTGCTCGATCATTTGTTGCTGGTCCTCTGTACGCAGCAACGCCAGCAGCGCCATCGCCTTCGGCGGCTTCTTTGCTGTTGGGCCCTGGGAGTATCTCTCTGCTGCCTTCCGTCGCGACTACGCCGGCTGCAGGGGGAGTTCCTCCCGCGGCTGCCCCTGCAGTCGCTTGCGGCAGCTCGCCAGCGGCTACAGGAGCAACAGTGCCATCAGGCAGCAGCAACGCGGCATCAAGCGCAGAGGGCGCTGCGAGTGGCGGGAAAGGGGGTGTGACACGGGGCCTTAGGGCACGAGGTCGCCATGCAGGAGGGGCAGCAGCAGCAGCAGCAGCAGCAACACCGTACAACAAGGGCAGCAGGCCGTCTCCGCAGGCTTCCCCTGCTGCCGGAGGAGGCGAAGTGCATGCAACACTGGCTGCAGAAACTTCCAATCCGTCGTTAGGCACTGCGGGCGGCGCAGCAGCGGCCTCTTCTGGGAGCAAACGGGATGCGGCAGACGGCGTATGTGGTGGTAGCACAGCTCATAAAACTACGTCTAGTAGTAGTAGCAGCAGCAGCAGCAGCAGCAGCTCGAGCTCGACTCGGGGAAGTCGCGTGCAATGGAGCCGATTCGACGCGCTGTTTCGGAGGGTTCCCCTGGGGCCCTTTGCTGCAGACATCTCAAGGGCCTTTAAGGAGGGTCCGGAGAGACAGCAGGCCCTGCAAGAAGCGAAAACTATCGAGCGCACTCTGTTGCAGCCAGACTCTACCCCCAACGCGGCAGACCTCCTTCTGCCGGCAGCAGAGGATCTCGATGCACTTCAGGAACTTCTTGAGCTTCATGCGCAGGTCCTCAAAGAGAGGCAGGAAAAGCGAAAGGGCATGAAGCAGGGTGGCGTGGAAGGCAGAGACGTGGAGAATGCCGCTCACAAGCTGCCCATTACGGCACTCATCGACTTCGGATCGGTGGCTGCTTGGTGCTGCTTTGAGCCCGTCGAGGGGCGTTACTCTGAGGCTCCCCAGGCCGGGCAGCTTCTCGACGAACTGTGTAGCAAGGGCAGAAATGCGCTTCCAAGTGCCAGCGGCAGCAACGGAAACGGGAGCTTTGTATTGGATGATGTTGCTATCAAAGCGTATCTCCAAAAGGTAGTCGCTCCGGCTCTCGCAGAGCACCAAGGGGGGCTTGCGTCTCCTGCTGCCTTCGGCACAGGAGCAGCAGGATCTTCCGCTTCCGCTGCTACCGCCGCCGCTACTCCTGCATTGCCGCAAGGCGGTGGGGTTGTTGTAGAGGAGGGAGCAACAGAAACCGTAAGCAACAGTCCCACCCTTCAAACTGCAGGGTGTCAGCTGTCCATTAAAGCCTTCAAGATCCTCACGGACTACCAACTTGCCTTTTGCAGGAGGCAGCTACACTGCATGCAGATCCCCGCCGAAGGAACGGCTCCGGACCTCAAGGCTTTGCTGCAGAAGCAACTGCAGCAGCAGCAACAACAAAAGCACCAGAGATTGCCAGGCCCAGAAAGGCCAAATGGAGCAGAACATGGAGGAGTGGAGGAAAGCGATGGAACCTCTAAGAAGCTCTGCTCCCTCCACGAAGGCGCGTCCAGCAAATCAGCAACAGCAGATGATGAAACATCGGTGAAAAGCGGAGCTTACCAAGGAAGCGAGACAAGGGTTCTCGCGAAGGCCGAGAGCAACGGCACGGACTGCTCACGGGTTTCCATGGACGTAGAGGGGAGGAAGGAGGCCTCTGGCGAGCAGCAGCAGCAGCAGCAGGAGCGACAGCAGGAGCAGCAGCCTGCCGCAGATGGTTCGAACGGCAATAGCGGCAACAAGGCAGGCTCCCAAGTGACGGCAGCGGATTTGCCTAACCCGTCGTTTACCTTCGGAGGGGCAGTAAACCGTCCTGCGGCTGGTACTGTTAGTCTTGCAGGCAACAGCAGCCACACCATCGGTGGTGTTAATGGAGGCGTAGCCTCTCTCGTAGAGGTGGCAGGGCATCGGTGGTATTGGGGGGCTTGTGGGGAAAATAGAGAAGCTGGAGACTTCGTCGGATCGCAATGCATGCAGTTCTTGCAGGTAAGCGGATCCCGGTGTACCAACGCTCCACGTGTGCCACTATTCAAAAGCAGCTGTCACTGCCTGCTGACGAGCTCCTTTCTCTGTGCTTTCGCCTGTCCTTTGATTTCGGCTGTGAGCCTTTGTTCGGCTCTTCCAGCGCATACAGGGAGGATGGCTGGGGAGTGAGAGAGGCAAGGCACTAACGCGTGTGCTTATGCGCATAGTATACAGGCACCTCCCAAGCTTCTGTATATGCTTGCTGGTCTTGGGTTTGGGTAACTGCGCAGGTAGGGCGTGTGTTGGCGCGCGATCTGCATCGCTTCAAGTCCTCCTTGTTGCGCTGTCTCCTTGAAGAGAACCAGAGCACCTTGAGGCTGTCGGAACGGGCAGACGTCTTGTCTTCTTTGCTGCAACGCTACGGCGAAATGCAGAGGTGGGGTCATCTGAGGCAAGCCCTCTGTGCAGGCCTCAGGGATGTGGCCATGCCACCCTTCCTGCCGAATGCGGCGGCAGTGCAGCAGCAGCAGAATCAGCAGCAGAATCAGCAGCAAGTATTGGGGGCATCTCCTGGGACGGCAGCTGCCAAATGCGCACCTTCTCAGACTGAGGGCTCAAGCAGCAGCAACAGCGGTAGCGTGTGCAAGGAGAATGAAACGGCGGCAGCTCTCCAGGCCGTGGCTTGTCGGTTTGCTGCAGCTGCAGCGGCAACGGGGAGGGCGAGGAATGCCAGCCCGGAGCAGCAGCTGCTGCAGCACCAGCAACAACGGCATCTGTTCAATCAGACACCGGAGAAGCCGCCTGAGGAGGGCCTCCCTGCGAGTGACTTTGCGGAGGCTGCGGAGGCAGCAGCCGCTGCTGCTGCTGTTGCCGAGGCAGCTGAATCGGGTGACGCCGCAGCAGCGGCGCTGCGACTGTACGAACACCAGGAAGGGGTGTTGCCTAGGGAGAATTCTGCAGTCAACCCAAGGCCCCCAACGAAGGGCCTCTGGCATGGCGTTCAGGCTCCCCGTAGTAACGGGCTTCAAGCTGCTGCGACAGGAGTAGCACAGGGGTATGGCAATTGGTGCTGTTCCGGCTCTTATCTGGACCTCGGTTGTTGTTGCTAATGGTTGCTGTTGTTGCTGGTTGTTGTTGCTGGTGGCTGTTGTTGCTGGTTGTTGGTGGCTGTTGTTGTTGCAGTTGTTGCTGGTTGTTGTTGCTGGTGGCTGTTGTTGCTGGTTGTTGGTGGCTGTTGTTGCTGGTTGTTGTTGCTGTTGTTGCTGGTTGTTGTTGCTGTTGTTGCTGGTGGCTGTTGCTGTTGTTGCTGGTGTTTTCTGATAGACTATACATTGCTAGATGCGTCCTCTTGAGGCAGTTGCGTTTTTGGGTGCTCCCGTATGTCCCTGCAGAACGCAGTATCCCACCGAGCGGCATCGCCAAACAGCCGTTGATGCAGCAGGAACTGCTGCTGCGGCCGCAGCAGCAGGAAATCCAGCAGGAGGAACAGCAGCAGCTGCAGCAGCACCTTTTGGTGGGAGCGGCAGTGTGGCTATCTGCAACAGCGGAGGCGCCAATGACTCGTGCAGTTTCCTGCTGTCAGGCAGTATGCCCGGGGGTGGCTTAGACCTGGTGTGCTGCTGCGTATGCTGGCAAGGGGAGATTTCGTCCTTAAATCCCCTCTATTCATGTGTGCGCTGCCTCCTCTGCTGCCACAAGCATTGCTACGGCGTGGGCCGCATGGGGGAAGCGGTGGAAGCGGAAGATTGGCTGTGCCGCCGTTGCGAGTTCGAAAAAAGAACTTTAGGCACTCAGTGGATGGCCGTCTTCAAGCCCATGGATCCGAAATGCCAGGTAACAACTCTTACAAGCGCGCCTAGCAAGACTTTTACCCCCCAGCCATTAGACTCCCACCCCCCAGCCGTTCTACAAGCCACCATCCTCGTAGCGGTGATGACACAATTTCTCGGCCTTCGTGCCTGCACCCTCCTCTTTTCCCCTGCCTCTTTTACCCCGCCTCTTGAGTTCCTGCATCACCACAACCACCACCACGACTACAGCGCCGAAATCGCACTGGCCATCAGGCACACTGTTGTTGGCAGTGCTAAGAAGGACCGCTGCAACTGCAAGCCTCGTGCACGCCGCATGAGGAGCCTTCCGCTTTGAGCTGCTGCCGCCTCGACTGCATGCAAATCGTGCGGGGGCGAGGCGGAGGTCTCTGCCTGTGTCGTATTCCATTTTCGCTGCGTGTGTAGTTCTTCTCCGCAATTTCCCGTCACGCTAACACCTGCTGCCGCCTTTTACGGGCAAACAAGCTCTAGCTTTCACGAGTGCTGTGGGTTGTTGCTGTCCCTATTTGCAGATCTGCTGCCGAGGCGGAGGGGCCCTCAAGCCCACTGCAACAGGCGCTTGGGCGCATGTGCTCTGCTGTGTCTTTCTGATGCCAGAAGTGGTGTGCTTGGACTTGCAGCGTCTCGAGCCTTGGAGTCTTGAGGGCGTGCAGAGTTGGCGTCGGTTTGCCGTCTGCTCGCTTTGCGGTGTGGCGGGAGGAGCTTGCCTCCGGTGCTCTCAGGTGGGGTGCACTGTGGCATTCCACCCCATGTGCGCGTGGCTCGGAGGCCTCTACTGCTCGGCGGAGACGATCCCTGGCCTCTTCCTTGTCGTTAGAGGGACGTTGGATCATTGCTTCCCCCGCCTCAGACTCAATGCCTTCTGCTTCAAACATACGCCGGAGGCGCCTTCTATCCGGTGCGTGTCGGACTGCCGTCGACGAGAGGCCCCCTCCCTCTCCTCCCCCGCCGCAGGGGCCTCGAGGCTTTCCTGCTTTTACGCTCCAAATAAGCCCTCCTATGCGAGGCGGAGAAAGGGGGGAGAAGCGGGGGGTTGGTCGTGTTGTGCTCGCTTTCCGCCGCCTCCTCAGATTCTTCCAAGTCTGTTACCTTCTCTTTACCTGCAGGAGGAGTGGAGCCTTGCAGGCCGTCATGCGATCACGACGCTATTGCACGCGAGACCACTGCCCAGAGCTGCATGCTCTCAGCGAGAGAAAAGGCGCGTTCTTTCTCAAGCGTGCGCTCCCCGCCGCTGCTGCGGCTACCCGCCGCAGCACAGCCGTTGCAGCAGCTGCGGCTGCCAACAGCTGCAATGCCACCAATGCCACGCCCTCCAAAGCGCATTTTCCAGCAACTCCCGTGACTCCCGCCGCTGCGGCCCCTCCTGCCGCTGCCACTCGACGGTCCGTTGCTGCTGCAGCTGCAGCTGCGGCATCTGCGCACTCCATGGGGGGAGGCACTCCTGCTGCGGAGACAGCACCTGGTGCTGCAGCCTCGGGAGGGCCTTGGCCAAACAGCGTCACAACTACTGGCAGTTCCGGCTGCATTACCCCCAACGCGGCTGGCGAAGGCTTGGCTACAGCTGCGGGAGCAGCGGCGGGAGGGAGAGCAGGAGAGACTTCCGCGGCAGCTGCCACAACAAATGGAGATGTCTTTGCGACGGAACGACCCATGCTGGAAGAGCTGGATTTCTATCAAGACCACTGCTGCGCCGTCTGCCTTCTTCCGAAGGTCACTGCCAGCACCAACAATCCCTTCTTTTACTGCTCCCGCTGCGGGATATCGGTGCACCGCATGTGCTACGGCATCCCCCGCGAATGCCTCCCCAGCATCCTCCGCCCCGAGCTGCAGCCGCAAGAGCAACTTGAAGCGGAGGACTGTGGCATCAAGCGGCAGAAACATACGGGGGGAACGCATGGCACCACCACCATCACCAGCGGGCTTCCAGAGGGCAGAGACAGCAGCAGCTGCTGCAGCAGCACGTGCAGCAGCAGCAGCAGCCACAGCAGCAGCAGCAGCAGCACCAAGGACGCAACCTCGATTTCGAAACCTCCTGGTCTAAAGCGTCCTTATTCGGATATTCCCGCAACAGGCTGCAGCAACGGCGGCGAGCCGTATGTGCCGGTGCCGTTTCTATGCGAGCCGTGCCGGTATGCATCCAATCGAGATGAGGTATGTAGATGGAGAGAGGCTTCCATCTTGCGTGCAGCCAGCAAGGGCTCTTGGAGGGTTTCTTCAAGGGATTTCCCGTGTGTGCCTTTGCGCGTGCTTCCTCAGGTGTACTGCCAGCTGTGCCCCCGTCGTGGGGGCGCCCTCAAACTGGCATTGCCGTCTTCATGCGGATTTACCGTGGAGACGGTTGTTGGCGCTTCAGCTGACAAAATTGCAGCGGCAGTTGCTGCTGCCGTGAGCAGCAGGCGCGTGGATGGCGGCAACACAGCGGCACCGCTACAGTTCGTGCATATGGTGTGTGCCCTCTGGACACCAGGTGTGGAAGCTGCTGAGACAGAGAGCCTTTCTCCCATTGTCGGAGTCGATGCCGCGTTACAGAGGGAGCTGCAACAAAACCCCTGCAATAGTGCTGGTAAGAATGCTGCCAAGCAGAACCAGCAGCAGCAGGAGAGCGGCGTCGCTCGTAGAGATCAGTCTCGAGCCGTATCGAACACCGCTGCTGCAGGACTGCAGCTGCAAGAAGCTGCTGGCTCAGAAGGAACTGGAGAGTCTGCCGGTACTTTTGTCTGTGCAATATGCGGCCTCTCGTTCGGTTTGATGCTTTCCTGTTGTGCCCGGGAGTGCACAACGACCTTCCATGCCCTTTGCGCTCAACTGCGGGGGTGCTTCATGGAGATGGCAGAAACTACAGGGCCTTCTTTCCAGGCGACAGCTTTCTGTCTCAAGGTAAGTGCGCCTCGTCCTTTTCCTTCTGCGGCAGCATAGACATCAAGGAAATACAGAGACACACTAGGGATCCTTTCCGCGCAGTTTTCTAGGCTTGTCGAGAGAATCACTGGGGATTTCGTGTTTTCCTACCTACTTGTCGTAGAGATAGGGCTTGAGGTTTCAGGCCTCACCTATCTCCCAGCAAGACGGTTTTGAAAGCATGGCACTTTGGTAGCAGCTGGTCTGTTTGCTATTTATCGATATCAGGGTGCACCTTAAGGACGGGTTGCTGTTCGGATAGCGGCTATCGTGGCGCGTTTGTGTGTTGCTGCAGCATTCCCACACTCGCAACCAGATTTCCCCAAGCGTTCGATTGCTGCTCCGTCTTCGCTCCTTCCTCGAGCTTGTAGGTCCTCCCCCTCCGTCTGTATGCCACAGCTAGCGCATATTACTTCTGCTGCTCCTACTACTGCTCCCCCTCTCCCCGCTGCTGTTGCGTTTTGCAGTCTCGTCTGCTGGTTGGGCAAGTCTCGGAACGAGAGAGCAGCAAGAGGCTTTACATTGCCCAGCGGCGGAAGTGCCTCGCCGCGGCATACCCAATTCACCCTTCGCAGACTCCCCACCCCGCCACGCAGCAGCAAGGGCAGCAGCAAGAGCAGCAGCAAGAGCAGAGCCATCTGGCGCTCGCTAGTGTGGAGCTGCAAGGCCTCGAGTCAGTGATCGACAGCGAGACGGGCTTTCGTTGCACGCATCTGTCTGAGCAGCAGCTGAAGCAGCTACAGCAGGAGCAGCGAGCGCACCGGTATGAAGGCACTTTGAAGGGCACGCTGCTGCGGCTGCTGGATACAAGCACTGCCGCGGCAAGGCAGGAGGCCATAAGGCTTGCTGCCTCTGTCCGGCAGACTTGGGAAGCGATCCTCTCTGAGGCCACCCCCGCTGCTGCGGCACGGGCAGGAGCATCTGCTGCGGCAGCAGCCGCATCTGATCCGGGGGAGCTCAAGCCTGCCGCCAACAGCAGCAGCAGCAGCAGCACGAGCAGCAGCTATGGAGGCGGGGAAGATGACTTTGGTGTCCCCGAAGGTTTATTTGTAGATGACGCTGCAGACGATGAGGCAGTGAAGAGCAATTATATGTCCCTCTTCTTTTCTGGTCCTGTGCCTCCCTCAGACTTCACCGCCAGCAGCAGTGTTGGCTCCAGGGAAAATCCTGCTGAACAGCCAAGCGAAGGCGCTGAGCTGCTGCCCCTGCTGCGCATATCCCAGGCCACGATGGCTTCTGATGGCAGGCAGCCGTCGCACTGCCCTCAGGTGTGTAGTTGCTGGCGATCTGCACCAACTGCAGGAGGCGGCTCGGCAGCAGGCGGTGCAGAGGCAGATCCTGACGGCAGTGCCCTTGCGGCGTGCAACGTGGAAATCCGGAGCTACTTTGTGAGCGCGGCAGTTCTTATGGCGCTGCAGCAGCTGCGCCTTTTCTTTGTCCGGCAGCAACGGCAGCACGAGCAGCAGCAACGTGGACTCGACAGGGCTGCTGGGGGGGTCTCTTCCACGGAGAGAGAGTCTGATGCCTCTCACCGGATGAAGGCTTCTGCAGCAGTGCCTCAAACAGCCTGGCCCTTGGATGACGACAGCAGCTACGTGACGGAGCTCTCTGGGTTGCAGCCCTTACTGTCTCCGCTGCAACGCGGGGCTGCGAATGAGGCGTTGCTGTACTCCTTGCATGCGGAGGCGAAGAACTGTCGATACTCGTGCTGGTGTTCCTTTGTCGCAGCGCTTGTGCAGCAGACGCCTCGGGATTCACAGGGCATTGCGGCACAGGACGGCATAAACAGCATGTCTGCAGCAGCGGGACCAACAGCAAACGGAGCGAACTCGCTTCTGCATCAAGAGGAAGCGCCTTCCACTGCGGCAGGTGTCCTGGTGATAGCCGTTCAGCAGCTGCGGCTGTGGACTGGATTCGTAGTCGTTGCGCTTAGGGCAGCAGCACAAGCAGCAGCACAGGGGCGAGCCGGGAGTCCAGCATCAGCATCCCCCGCAGCTATTCGCGCGGCGTGCGTTGCGGGGGCGTCAGTGTTGCAGCGCATGCTCCATAGCAGCAGCGCTGGCTGGACCGGCGTTGCTGCTGTGGAAAGGGTGACCCCACCGTTGGAGTGGAGAGGAACGCTCCGCACGGTGAGGCCTTTTTAGGTCCAACAGAGCGATCCATATGCATATTGATGTGTAACTGCCTAGTAACTCTAGATATGCAATGCAGCTGGAGAGGGGTTATGCTCACCGGCGCATTGTACAGAGCGCGTGCTGCAAGCCCTCTGGCTCTCGTTCTATGAGCCCTTGCTTACTCTGGCGTCTTTTCAGGTGTCCTTCTCTGTATATGCCTCTTGGTGTTGAGGTCCTTACGCGCAGCAGCGTGCGGCCTGTGTGCCTCCTGCGTCTGTGGTGCTGCAGGGCGTTGCAGCCATCGGCAGACGGGTGGCTTTGTACTCCCCGTACATGGGAGTTTGGTATGGCGGCGTCATTGTCTTCTGCGACAATCCATCAGGAAGCAGCAGTGGCTCGGACAGCAGCAGTAGTCGAGGCTTTAGGGCGGGGCGGTGTCTCATTGCTTATGACGATGGTGACTGCGCTTGGGCCTATTTGGAGGGCCTTGCGGATGTTCTCCTTTTCAGCATGAGTACTGAGAACCACCAACTGTGAGGTTCCCCCTTTTCGCGCCCTCCTATCTTTCTCTGCTGACCCTGCCCTCACGGCACCGTTCGTCTTGCCTCCTTTCTTGGGAAGCTTTCTTACTTCTGTGCATGCATTTCCTCGTTGCACCTGCGGTCGCTCTCTATGGTGCAACGCGCTCAGGTGGATGGAAGCCCTCAAAAGGCGGCGGCAGCGCAAAATACAGCAGGCCGTGGCGGCACATCTGAGAGAGAAGCAGCAGGTACTCACGGGGCCCTGCATCAGCTGCGGAGCAATTTGTTCGAGCGTCAACAGCAGCAGCAGCCAGCAGCTACAAAATCAACAGCACCAGAAGCAGCAGCAACAGCCAGAGGAAAGCTCCCCCTTCCCGGGCATCGTCTGCTGTCAGTCTGCGCCCCTGCCACGGCTCTCCACCAAAAAGCTGTCACTTGCACTTTTGTACCATCGTTTGCACTGCATCTTGCATGCTACTCTGCAAGGACGGCAGCTGTTACTGTTGATGTGGGCACGCCTATCCTGATTCTCTTTGACTGCGGAATGAGCCAAAGATATGCAACTTTGCTTATTTTCCATCTGGCTGCGCTGCAGACCGGGAAGACTGCGGCGCCCTTTGCTGCAGCAGGTGCCTCTCTTCTGCTGCCGCTGCAGTACGTTTTATTGCCGAACTTCCGTCCATCTCTTGTCTCTGCACCGAAGCCTCTGCTGCAGATCCCCTCTCTGCTAGTTTGGTACAGTTGTTGCTGCCCACCATGACGATGTCATTGTTGCTGATACACGCGTGGCGTTTCTATTGTCGCAGGCTGGGGAGGTATGGCGCTGCCTGCGCTGCAATCGGTGAGTTCCGGGTTACTGCTGCCTTGCGGTCTTTATAAGTACTAATGTTCCTCTTAGGCCTTGCTTCCGAATATCAGTGGCTCTGTTTTCGCTCATGTCGTTTCTGTGTTGTGTAGGCCCCTGTGAGCCCTTCGCTCTGCCAGTGGTGGCAGCAGCAATTAGTGGTTGACAAAGCTAAGAGGGCTGCGGTGTTTTGCGAGATATAGCTGACTCGTGACCCGTCGTTTAGGCCGCTGCCTCTGATTATGCTGCAAGACGCATCATATGCGCCGTCACTGTGATATTGTGCACGTAAGTGAGCGCCAGCCGGCCTGGATCTACCCGGCCGTATTACGTCGGTAGCTAGGAGCTACCATGTAGCACTCTAGTAGCTAGGCATGTGGGAGTTCAGCTGGTTTCGCGCCTTCAGCTCTGCGTGGTGTTTGTGGGGGACTTGGCCTCCTGGTGGTTCCGAACTTTGTCCAGCGGAGTCGGAGATTTGTAGCAGTTTTGTTGTTTGCTCTATCAGAAACTCTGTCTTGCAGCTAAATTCTCGTGAATTGCTGCTTGCACAGTTTGGCCCCAAGCTTCCGAAGGGCTGCCTTGGTTCAAAATGAGATGCAGAGCCGTCTGGTGGTGGCTGACACAGCCTCACCAAACGCAGAGGGTATGGGCTAGGAGCTGTAGCACAATTATAGAATTCGAGATATTTTAAACGTATTCCTCATGGAGCAATTAGATCGACTGTAACTAGTTTTTTAAAGAGGCCATTTGATTAAAGGTCTCATGCAAGGTGGTTCCTGCCGCCTCGCTTCACCTTGGACTCTCCACTCCACAAGCGATCACTGATTACATTGCTGACGCCCTGCTACTTGGACCGCATAAAAAGGCTCACAGATCTTCAAAGAGTTGTTTCGTATCTCCATTATGCCCTTGGGCTTCAAGCATTATTTGGTTTGGCTCTAAGCAACTTGCCACAAGCATGGAAGCTTGCATTATTACTAACGAAACAACAAATCGCTACTACGCATCGTGGGATATTTGCTGTTGAGTGAAGCTTGCCTGAATCCATCTTTTCTAAGCTCCCGGGAATTCCCTACCTGCGCTAAACTGGTGAGACAAAATCCATTTGAATACTTGTATTATTCCTCGATGCTGCATAATAGAGCCCTATGCACCTTTAGCATGCGTGTATCTGGGAAGGAGTTTCAAGTAAATATGACGTTGGGCTGGGCACCGCTAAAATCTGCGAGACTTGGACTTCGACATCCGGCTGTATATGCAAACATTTGTCCACAATTAAGCGTGAATTTAGCCAGACCGTACCTTGGTGGCCTCATCAAATTATCATGTAGAGTATTGTCAAGGTGAGGTCGGCGCAAGCAAAGGTTCCCCCATGAAACTCGGGTAAAGGAAAAGCCGGAGGAAAAGGTGCCCATTCTCGCAGATTTGCAGCCCTACATTTGGCTGCGTTCTTAGACCCGTACCAACAGCAAAATTACTGAAATCACTCTGCATTCCTTCGAGTTAGCAAGCAACGGTTTCAAGAGCATAATATTTACGGGCCAGTGCATAAGCTATGCTCCTTCATTTCCTCGGTGAACCCATCCTCGCCATCCTGTGCAGGCCATTGTGCGCTTCGGCTCCTCGCGTAGTGCATACGAAAGAAATATAACAGATCGTCGACTGGGGTGGCCCTTAGAACAGAAATAATGATGGTAGTCCACCAAAAAGCAGCCTTGGAGGCGTTTTCTTGGTAGACCAAAGTATTCAGGGCAGGCCTCCAATTGGGACAGCAGCTAGTTCCTGGGCCCAGGCACACTGGTCTGCTTTCCTTCGAGGTAGCCTTTTGCGCGTCGTCATTCTTTCTGCCAACTGAAAGCTAGTTTGCCGTACAGTCACTGGGTTTGAAGAAGTGTAGTGAACCTGCCATCGTAGTAAATTGGCTGTCAGTAATGCATTTGGCAGCACAGCGGCTGAAGCAACGAAGCTTACTAGTCTACAGGCAAGGAAACTTCGGTATCCAAAAGCTTGGGGATAAAGACACTCCTCTTCTGGCGCCTGGCCAGTGTTACAGACCGTTGGACCAGAAAAAATAGCCTACGGTCACGGCTCAAAGCTGACGGTCGGTGCACCTGCAAATTGCAGTGGACTACCAGGATACAGCATGACTGCCAAAGTCAAATACAAGAGGCTGGAACACGTGCTTTACACGAATATTTTTAAAGTCTAGCTGCCATGCTAGGCAATTGCCTTGGCATAACAACGAATTAGATCCAAGCAGGAGCTATCGGAGTATTGTGACCAAGTCTTCAGTGCACAGTACACAAATTAGAGCATACGCTTTGGTGTTCCCGTCAGGGAAACAAAGCCATTAACTGTCCTTCCTATGTGGGAAGACCGGTAAACTTTTACTCGCCCGCTGAGGAGTCAGCCATTCCCATGACGGACCAGAACAACCTTGATGCCTTTCTAGCGCACAAAGTGGACGTATCCTGTTCAAGATTTTTGTTGGTTCTTAGATTTTATCTAATGCTGGACAGACAAAGTCGTTGCATGCACCACGCCATAAAGCCTACTTGCTCACGACTATTCCCTAGCGGCATCTGGTGTATGAAACCGAAATTGCAAAATCGTGTTCCAATCGCGTGCACGCAATAATGCATTCACTGAGTGAATGGGCTAGGTTATTTCTCTTCTTTGGAGTACACTCACTGTCTGCTTAAATTGCCCTAGAAAATTGGTGTTATGCATCAAAGTGAGCGTTTGTCAACTTTTCACTGAAACAATTGGCATGTTTTTCTTCAAAAAAGCTCAAACTAAACTTATACTTCCCTACAAAGGAAGCACAGACGCAAGTGCTGTCGGCGACTGGTGTCGCTATACCTGCACTGGAGTTGACAATGCTAGTAGCTTTTACAGAATTACACCACATGCTTTAACTTCTTGATAAAAAGGCAAGGCTACACTCATGACACTCTATGGAATTCGCTCTTACGGAGACCCATTTTTGCGAAACTACTGATGGTAGTGCTACAATTTTTCACCCAGAGACTCAGCTGGGGCAAAGCGCATTCCGGCTTGAAGTAACGCTTTGATCCTTCGATAGGGACAGCCGTGGAATTTCTGCTCCACTATACGCTGAAGTCTTCATACTTCGCGACTTCTACACCCAAGGTTCGTTGGAAGTTTTGTCTCCCTAAGACGACCCTGCCTTCAGGCTCCTTTTCGCTTCTGGTGACCTCGTGTGACTATATGTCTCTTAGCACGGAAAACGAGGTAGATCCCATCTTTGGACAGTTTCGGATTGAGTCAACTCACCAAGAAGAAAATGGGTGGTATATGCGCTTTTATTTATCAAGCTGCTCAATGTATTTTTCACCGCTGAGATAGGAGGAAGTGTTCATGGGGTCCTCTGCGTGAAGTGGCGCAATTTGTTTTCCGTTCGCTGCAGTTAAAGAACTATTTAGTGAAAGTCCTGGCAATCACATAAGAGCATAGGCATGTTGAGCCGTTCTCGCTGAGAGCATATAAAAAGTTTGCGCAGAATTTGTTGTGGGTATTCTCGAAGGGGAGAGACAGCAACCTCCTTCCAGCCCTCGCGTGCTCTGTCCTGCGTGCATTACTCACGTACGCAATTTTAGATTATTAAATTTCCTTAATTTTTCAACACTCATTTTCCTTCCAATGGACCGTGTGCCCGGCGCTTGACCAGGAAACACAACGGTAAATCAAGAGAACTGCGATAGTTGCTCCACACTTTATCTCCGCAACTGATGAGCCACTTCGGTAAGCCATTTTGCACGTTGAGCTCCTAGTCTTACCCGCAAATCAGTTGGGATCAGTTTTACGACAATCTGCTGGATGGGACTTTGGTCCTTGTTAACTACTTCACATTCCGGTGAACCACTGGGCTAGCAATGAAGTGAGCTGGAGCAGAAATTTCCCATAATCCAGCGTAGACGCTGCATTCTAACTTTGAACTCGTTTGCTTGTTGCCAAGGAAAATTCCACCCGTTCTCCATTAAAGCTATTTGTCATGCCTTGCGACGCGCCGTGGCAGCACGATCTGACCCTTCTGACATCCACAGGGAGGAGCGCGTTTCACCGTCTCCCTGTGTCACACAGACACACTACAACGCTAAATAAGTGCAGAGCACAAGATATACGACAATCAGATGAAGGCAATAACAACGATGGTGATCGGCCTCCCTGCTACTGCAATTTGCAAGGGCCGGCACTCGCTATGAAATTACGGCCCCCCTTCATAAATGGACACTCATGCAACCATCATTTCCCAGAGCAGAGACAAACCTACAGAACTGCTTTTTGGCGGGCCTTTTAGAACAGTGACTTCATCCACATGATGAGGGATCCAACGCATTGAAACGCCCAGAGGTGCGGCCTTCTTCTAGCGGCTGCAGCTATTGCACACAGGAGAAAGGGCAAAATAAGGGATTCAGCCGCCCAGTTTAGTATTATCTGGCTCTTCCGTTAGTCTTCGTCATTCAATTAATACTTCCATGCCTACTGAAACCATGTATTTGTTGGGCAGCAGTGCCGGCGTCTCTGCCGTGCGAGGCCCTACTTTTCCGGGTCCCGTGGGTGTCCTTGGGCTGCTGCTGCTTGCTCTGACGCATAACTCTATAAATAGAAGCATTGAGCCCAAGGAACCCCCGAATTTGCGGCGCATTGCCTCTTTCCTTCTCTTGGCGTTCGTTATGGAGGCAAGGCATTCCGGATGCTTAAGATTGTTTGCTTCTTCAGAACTTCTTTTCTTCTGGAACGGCCTATACAAGATACAGCAAACTGTCACAAGGCTGGAAAGTTTTGGCTATCCAGAGGATGATTCGAGACAATATCCATTGGCATCATATTCCCGCAGCAGACCTTCATCAGGGCAATGCCCACCCCCCTATGCGCCCTCCTGTTCTTTGCACTTCTGACGACATTCGCACATCCCAGTGTAAAGGTCATGAAGCTGTTTAAAGAGCCTCAGACCAGTATGGCGGCTATCCATGAAACTTCCTTCGCGCCGTACGATAGTGGACGAAAGGTGAGATACTCTACAGAATAGCCAAAAAGCAGCACCACCCCTAAGCAGCTTCAACTTTGCAAACCTCTCTAGTTGGAGGCTCTGGGACTTCGCTTCATCGCATTTTTCTTTGTGCTCATTGTGTTGCTGGCACTGGCTCATGCTTTCCTTGTGCTCTCCTCCTAGGTCTTTCAGCGCCTTATTCGCACAGCCCCCAAAGATCTGGCATTCCGCTCAGGTCAAGACTGCACGCAACCGTTTATTCCTAGGCTGCTACATCCAGTAACCAGAAATTTGCACCCTTACACAGCCTTATCTGCCCATTATTTACACACTGCTAGCTCTCCCACTTGCTGCGGCTCCCGCAGCTGCTACTTTTTGCGATGATTATCCTGATACTTTTGCTTCAGGCACACTTTTGGGTTCATGTTCTTTGCTTTGGAGCTCTTTGCCAGTGATACCTGAGGCTGCCGTTAGCGAATTCGACCAGCGGCGGCCTCATCTGCAGGCCCGGAGACAGCAATGTGTGCTTTGGTTCGTACAACGTCAAATGGATTGCTTCCTTTGGCCCAAAATGCTGCTGCTTTTGTGATCAAGAATTCTGTTGTACTAGCTGGAAGGGAACATCTTGCATTGCTTGAGGCTTTTGTGCAGCAGCATATTATTCATCCCCCTCGTTACCTGCTGCCGGTCCTTGGGGTGTACAGGCAGCTCAGAAGCAAGAAGGGCCCCCTTGTGTGCCCATGTTACTTCCGGCAATGAATCTTGATGTACAAGCTGCTACCGTGGCTGCATTGCAGGGCCGAGTAACGATTGACTTTGCTTGTTACTGGCAGAGATGGTGTTGGGTCTTGAAGCAGTGCAGAGGGGTGGCCATTTGCATAGAGATGTAAAGCCTAACAACTTTCTTGTGACTCGAGAGGGGCACATCGTTTTGGCGGATTTCGATGGCATCTGGCCAGTAGGAATGCCTCTTGCAAGGGAGGAAGAAATGCAATTTACATGCAATTATGTACCTCCTGAGACACTGCGTGCGACTGAGGCTCTCAAAAGCGCTGATAAACAAAAGATGACTATGGGGGATACGATCGTTGAGTTGAGACAATAAAGGATGTGCCTGAGCGGTTGAAGCCAAAGCTGCTGTCGCTTTCTGAAAGGAGCGATGAGTGGAGTCTTGGAGCTTCAATACGGGAGATTTCCAAGCAGCTGGCTCGTCTTGGGCCTCTAGACGAGCCTTTGTTATTAAATGATTTATTGGAGTGCATAATGCGCCCCGTACAGTCGAGATCCTCCATGGAAGAAGTCAATGCCATCCTTATTCCGGCAAAGGCGCCACCTTCAGGGCCTTCATGGAAGACATGGACCTCAGGCCGGTCAAGCACAGTGTTTCGCTGAGACGCGGCGACTCACAACTGTCCACTTGAGTAGACAAAGAATATCTACCCGCAGGCTTTTTTGGTAGGCATCTATGCAGAAGGAACTTTTTGTAAGTTTTCCAGGAGATGAGCACCCACAGGGGATCTAAGAGAGAGGGGACAAAGTGTGCATTTTTCAGTATTCTTAAAGAAGGCAAAACAGCTCATACTATCTGAGTCGTAAATTACATATGCACAAGTTCATACTTGTCATATTATTGATTTCCTCAAGTGTGCTACCAATATAACCATACAGCTCCTCACTTCAACAACCACAGCAATTTTTGCTCTGATCCGAGAGTATTCAGAGTGCTTTAGTACATAGGGAGTGATAATGTGACGGCAGACACCTGCTTCTGTTGTTGTAGTAGCTATATCTGTTGGACTTTTTGTGCTGCCATGGTGAACAGCGTGATGGCAGAAAAAAACGTGTGTTTGACTGTGGGCAGCGTATGGTGCTCCACGCTGGGCATAATAAGACGTCCAAGCTCGGGTTCCTCGCATACACACTGGCAAGGACCCACTAGAAACGACAACAGGTAAACTTACGTGATCCTGCCTTGTCCTTGGCTTCGCATCTCTGACTTTGTTGTCCAGTTTTTTGGACTTGTTGAGGCGTTGCTGATTGCTAGATTGCTGGCCTTGTGTTTTTCCATGTCTGCCGCATGATTTTGTGTAAAATTGCCGGTATCGTGTATTTCTTATCATCTGGCCCTTTCTGTTGACTCTACATATCCCCGTATGCGTGCTTTCTTTGCGTATGCGTCTGCCCTGCCTCTGCCTCGGATGCCTGCGGCTCCACCGCTGGTATGTCGCTGAAGACGCGGTACACCCAGCGGGCTCAATTTTTGCGGTCAGGAGAAGGGTGATTTCTCTCTTTTTGCTTGTTTCCGTAATCTGCTCTTGTTTCACCAGGGGGCGGACGGATATCAGCTAACTTATGCCTCCAATCAAGCCTTATAATCTAATGACAGCGACGCAGTTTTTCACCTATTGATGCCTAATGTTAGTCCCTTGTCTGGTACCCCGCAGGCTTGTGCTCATATCAGCCTGCTCTTCCACCCCAGTCGTGTAGAGGACCCCTGCGATCCTTCGGATGTGCACTTTGGGGTCTAGGGGATCTTCGTATGGGTCTCCTCAGCAATAAAGGTGGTCTTCTTCTGCGTTCACGTTACACCCTTGGTAGTGCTATCCCGTAGAAATATTGCATTTTCCATTCCGGGAGGGCAGGTGTGAAGGCTGGGGATGCTTCTTCTCACGTACACGGTGGGGCCCCTGTTGAGTCATCAAGCGAAAAGGAACAGCAAAACCCGATGAGTTGCCACGCATTTTTTCAATACCTGTGGTTATTAGCTTCTCTTCTGCGCCAATTTCGTTGGAACATTCGTAATGTAAATACAGCCTTCCAAAAGTCATTCTGCCTCTTCCTACCCCCTCTCCTCCGCTCCGTGTCTTGTGTCTCCAACCGGTTCTGCAGTTCCTTCTGTCCCACGTAGCAGGCTCGCTTAACACCAGCGCAGCACGTTAATTATTCTTCTCAAGCTCTCCTTTTCTTCTTTCTAGTGCCCTCCCCGCTTACCTGTTATTCTTCCGCATAAATCGTGTGGTACCCCTCCATCCCTTAGGGTCACCAAGGCGGAGCCCAAGGCTTCATGGGCCCACCCCAATGGGCCCACACGGGGCTCCCAGCCACTGAGGGCTCTCAGAATCTTGGAGGTGACTCTTTAAGCGGCTCCTCCTCTCTGCCAACAGAAGGCGGTGAGCCCCTCCTTGCGCTGCCTTGGAAAGTATTTGATTATCGCTACGACGGGGATTTTATTGTGGCTGGTCTCCCAGTGCTTTTGACGCCATGTGGACCTCCGAGGGCTCCCGAGGACCAGATAAACGGAGACACAGGTCAGGCCCTCTACCCATAAAACCGTATCCGTTGCAGCAACAGCAGCACACACAAAGCCTTCAGCTACCGTTTCTGGCTATCTCCGTTGGATGCAGGCTGCTCCGTCTGGGATGCCTCCGTCGTGTTGCTGCGCTTCCTTGAGAAGAGGTTGGAGGGACTCCTTGGAACCCCAGAGATGGCCCCAAAAGGGGATTGTGCAAGAGTCCCTCCACTGATCATTGAACTAGGAGCAGGTAAGGGCCTAGTTGGCCTAGGGGCTGCAGCTATTGTTACAGCTATAACGGCTAAGGCGGAGCTTCATACGCATAAAGCGAAATCCCAGGTCAAGGCCTTCCTCGCTCCAAGAGGCCCTCTACCGCACGCCTGCCACGTATTGTTAACCGACTTGGATTACTGTGTGGCAGGCCTCCGCGAGGCGGTGCAGCTTAATCAACATTTTGCAGATTTACTGCCATCCATAGAGGCCTTCGATGAGGTACTAGATTATTGTCAAGCCACCAGGTGCCCGGAAAAACCCCTAGGTGCTGCACAAGGGCCTCGGGCCGGCGTCGTAGCTGAAGTTCTCGATTGGTCCTGCCCAGAAAAATGCAATGCCTTGGGGCCCCGTGGGATATCCGCAAAGCGAACCCCTCGAAGACCGCTTTTAGTTGTTGCAGCAGATGTTCTGTGGCTGAGGGAACTCGTAGAGCCCTTTGTTCGCACCCTCGCATTCTTCCTCACTCCTAGAGAAATGCGGTGGGATTTCAAAGTGCCCCCCAAGGGGAGCCCTGTTAGTGCACCAGAAGATTCTACATTGATTATTGTGGCCCATCAGAGTCGATCTCAGCCTGTCGATTCTCTTTTTTTTTCGCTGTTGCGAGCTTGGGGCCTCTACGCTGAGCGTCTGGACTATGGTGACGCCGAAGGGTCTATGGAGGGCGTCCATGGCCCCCCTCATTCGGTGGTTCTATTCAGGATTCGCCACATGGGGGATTAAAGCCTTTGGAAACCATTGGTGTTTAAACCTGAGGGCAGCTTCGTGCCTATTGTGACTTTACTTGGTGGCGGGATGCTAATGAAGGACTAGTGCAAATTGAGTGTTCAGAATTTCGAGGAAAGTGAGAGGACCCTGCAGTTGGTGGCTTGGGCACCGCTACAGAAATTCTGCCCAAGGGATTGAAATATTGAGGTGTGATGCCAGACTTGGTTTTGCCTGATACCCATCGAAGCTTAGTCGAATTTCGAGAAAGAGCGACATAACAGGCTTCTTTTTTACCTCAAGCTGCCAGAGCCTGGAACGTAACCACCGATAGCACTGCACACTGTTAGCAAAATCAGGCTTGGCATTATACCGTGCCGTTCCTTCTATCCCCTGTACAGAAGTTTTGCAGCTGCATCCACACTACCAACTGCAATGTTTTCTTTCCTGGAGACCCTGAACACCCAAATTGTAGTAGTCCTTCGTTAGCATTCCCACACAAGGTGAAGTTCATATTTTAGAGGCTCAGCATGAGGGCCGCAATCCTCCAACAATGAAACAAAGGACAATCATTTGACTGGCATCGACTCAAGTGGGCAACAGGAAGGAGAATGTGCCGTTACGAGCGGTACCAGACACCCTGTGGCCTGGAACTGGCCTTGTGGGGTCAAGGTTTCGTGAGGAACTTCTCCTGCCTTCTTAATGCTAATCTTTCCATGTGCAGGCAGCTTTGAGTTGGATTTCCAACGGGGTCCTTGATCGCTATATAACATCAGCTGCAGGACTAAAACAAAACGGACGCATTGTTTCGGATGCAAACTGGTATTAAAGTACACCGATGGTGGCCATTTCTCTTTCCCGATAATCATCACGCTGGTATGTACCACCGTATTTCAGTATCGTTTCTCTTACACATTCAACCCTTGATAGCTGTGCGGCTTTCCACTTGAGCTCAACGGGCTAGATAACAAATTTCTGGAGATGGTTCTGCAGACTTGGTGAAGATCGGTGTTGTTCTTGAAGGTCTTGGTCCATGGTGGCTTAGAGTTTTGGGTGGGCTATGCACTATTGGCCGATGAACGAATGGCTGACTTTGTCAATTCTGTAATTGCCTAGATCTTAGCTTGTGCCATGTGGGAAGTGTGTAACAGAGTTAGAAGCACGGCACAAAAACCAACTGTGAGCTTTTATGAAAAAGCTAAAAATGGGCGCAGCTGCTTTTTCCACAGCTTGACAACCGATCTACAATAAATAATCATGTTTCTGTTGGTAGCTGTCCTTAATGCGTGACTGTGGCTCAGTAGTTCTCTTCCGACACAGTTTTCCGACAGCACACGTTGAGCTCCTCGCTGGTGGCAGTGAAAGTCGGGGAGCTCGGAAGAAGACGTCGTGTTGGTTCGGAGATTCTGTTGAGTTTGCCTGAAAAAATTGCATTCACCTTATAGCTCCGCTTCCGATCTCTGATCTGTGGAGTCTAAGGACTTCTCTTGCTTGTGCTTCGTAGGTATTTTTGCGTAGCTTACACTTTTTCAGTTAGATGCTGTTGTAGAAACCGTTGACAAAACGCTTTATCTGAGGCCTTAGTAGGAAGACTCTTTGCTTTCTACTCAAACCCGCAACGGGTTGTATATAGCATTTAGCGCACGACCACACAAATCTAAATTTTGGAAGTGGGCTTACCCTACTCCCCAGCGAATACGAGAGGCGAACAGCCAAAACAAATAATCAACACTTTATTCATTATTACTTAAATATGGCCAGTGTAGGAAAAATAGCAAAGTGTAGCCTTTCAACAGCTCAGCTTTCGGCTGTCTGCCAAGCTTTGAGTTCTTTTTATCGGAATCCACTGTTCGAGACAGCCTATATGCACAGACGATTTGCTCCCACCCCAAGTGGCCCAACCTTCTATCGTTAGTCGTTACGATGGACACCATTTGCAACCGCTTGCCATTTCACTTCTTCAACTCGTAGGTCTAGGTTTCCTACCTGGCTTTGAGCTGTAGAGTTTACGGAAAATGCATTCTGCGCCCCTCCCGAGGGCCCATCAAGCTCGTTGAAGGGACCAACTTTTAAAGTGCCACCAAGAGGTCCATAGACTGCAGTTTGTTCATTAAATTGTGTACTACATTGCATACAGGGGCCAAAGGTGGGTACCTCAGAGAGAGCTTGAGTGTAGTGTTAAAATAAAGATGGGGACAGAGACGGCCTGAACAGGTCCTGATCCTTCAGCACATTATGGTGGAAGGTGCTCCAGAGTACACGGTGCAATATGTTTACGTTTGAATGCATGCTGTTATGATTCAAACCGGGAAAGCATATTACGGCATGATTTGGATTTTTTGGAGCACAAAACTTTGGCAGGTGCATTCACGCTGGCACAAATTCTCCATATGTTTGTACGGCATCTGGATATAGTCTAAGTTTCAATGTGAAAGAGAAAACTACTTGAGTACATTCGTCTGCTGTACTGGACCTTGCACGAATCTCACTAATTTGCAAGGAACAAGATCATTCTGTTTGACATACTCTCGTTGTACACAGCAGAGACAAGTTACTTGCAATTATTACACCTCCACGCGAGTGCTGGAACCTTAGTTTACTTCTCACAGCATATATCCGTTTTCTCCCAATGCTGCCTTTGATAAGAGAGAACATTTTTGATGTCTATACATGGCCTATATCTCCACTTATCTTCCCATTTATAGTGAAACCACGAGTGCTAAGGGAACTGAAGGACCCGCTGCTTTTAGGTACGAAGCCTCAAATGGAGCCTCACTAGCGGGAATTAACCTGGAGTCGGGCAATTCATTTACAGTCTTTGTGCATGCTGACGTTCACGAAGGCACTCTGCATCATGAAAAACGACCTCTTACCAAAACCGACTGTAGCGGGCTGAGCTTCGGTCACACTCGTTCTTGGACACTATTTATGTCTAACAAAGTACTGTCAGTGCATTGTCCAATTTGTTCGTATGTTCGCATCTCTTATTTATTACAAAGTCTTGTTTGATTGGTACCAAAAGATGCAATTTCGTGTGCGTGTAAGCTAGATGCGCGACTGGCTGCGTGCGCTTCGAATGCTTTAGGGGTGCATCTACTCGCACCTTAGCTGTCCCTCTTTCCTTATGTCGGGACCTCTGGCGGGCTAATCAGGAGATGTAGCGCAGTTTTTGGAGAGCAAAAATAGCCCTCTATCAAGTCTATATTAAGTCTAAAAATAAATGTCACTATGGAGACAACCAGTGCAGCGCTACGCTGACTCTCACTTGGTGCACCATCTATTGTCAGGCAAGTCAATAACGTGCGGCAAAAAATGCAGTAGAGAAGTACATGGTCAAAAGTATACTTGGTTATGTATGTCGGCAACTCGAAACCCCCACGTTTGCTAAGAGCTATGCTTCGGCGTAGAAGAACTAAGCCCAAATCCATACTTTCTTGCCACACCAATCAAAGCAACGAAGAACATCAGGCTTAACGCAGCGCTAACCAGCGGAGGGAATCATGATAGCACGACATGAGTAAATCCACCTTCACTGTGTGAGCAATCGGAGGTGTATCTGTCCGTATATTATGCTACGCTGTTCATCCACTAGGAATTAGCGCGGTGTGGAAACCTATTCTTATCCCTACCGCTGGCGACGTGGCGTGAATACTAGCCACCTTACATCACCTGTTTCAGCCAATCATGGCGCACAGTTTTAGCAGAAACAGCTCACAGTGCTATAAATCAACCAGCTTCCAAGAAGATGTATAGGAGCTGGAGGCTTGAGAGAAGCTAGGCTAAAGAAAGCGAAAACATTCGCTAAAAGGCAATAAAGCACATTCCTTGTGAAAGTTGGGCCTAGCAGGGCTTCTTGATGAAAGTTTACCCTTATGGGTCGGAGGGAGGGGATAGCGGTTGAAGGCCTGCTGATTGGTTTTTCCTTGACAATTTCTATTGCTGTTGTCTTCATTTTAACATTATTAATAATTCAAATTGACATTATTTGACACAAGATACTGGATTTATGGCTTTTTCATGGCTCTAAAAGCATTGCAGGGACCATCCATCCACAGCAACGCCGAATCGATTTATGCTGACTCACACGAAAAGCAGTGGCTCAAGCCAGCGCCAGCGACGGCAGCAGAAAGAAATAGATACGAAATGCATCAGAACCTCATTCGATGAAATTAGAAATACAATTCAAAGATGCCTATTTGGGGGAAAACGCTGAAGTTACTCAATAGACGCAGCTGCTACAGTGTGTACAATACCTTGGACTCCCCAGCACAAACCCAGAAATAGCGCTCCAGGCTACCACTGCCAAGTAGCTGCTGTATGCCGTAAACTGCTGCTTGTCCTTAGTACATAGCTCTTCGTCTCTTCCTTCCTCTCATTGCTCCTTCAGGGCACATGGGGTGCTCGTTTGCGATTTCTTACCCTGAAAGGCGGCTTAGCCTTCTGCATCAGAAGGGGCACAAGCATGGCTGGTGGGCCCGCCAGTCTCTTTGCTTCTGGCCCCCTATTTTCCCTTAAGTACGGTGCTTACGCATCTAGGCAAGGTCTCAAGACTTTTTCAAGGTGAGTTACTCATTCTCCTGCTGCTTAACTACTGACTCCCCACCGGAGAGCATGTTGTATATGTACACTCTTCCTCGGCCTTACGGGGGATGACTCTTGGCGACAGAGAACAAGGCGCATCCCTGCAGAGGTTAAAGGTCTTAGCTTATTTCTAGAGGAAGTGTGGCAGACAACTCTGGACGGAAGTCTGTCATTTCATGGAGGGCTCCACGTGCACCGCAAGTTACCAGCTGCTGCTGCCGTGCCGGCTGACAGCTGTTGCCATCTTTGTGCATTCTTCGCCTTTCTCCCCTATACATTTTGCTTATTGGTTTTCCTTTTGTTTTCATATTAACTGGTATTGCTTCACGGGTCTAGAGCTCAGGGCTGCGGGCCCTTCTGCCGCAGGGGTTGCATCAGTGTTGTACGGCTCGCGGCACAGCGCTGTAAACAGGCGCTGAAAGTGTTCTCTCGTATGCACTTATAGCTCCTACTTCATCTTCAATACATTTTATGCAGCGTTTTGGGGCTCTTATGGCAAAAGGTGTTTGCCAGTGGCGCGGCGGCACGATGTCATAAACAGACCACTTCGTATAGTTGAGGGGCTTCCGTGGATACAGCTGTAGAGTTCTAAGGATTTGCCTGCAGCAGCGGGGGCCCCATGAGCCCTTCAAGCTCCTTTCTACGGGTACAAGGGAGATACCACCCTCCCTGTAGATGCACCCCCGATACACCCAAGCCGCATCGCCGCAAACCGGTGTTGCAAACCAAAGAGGCATTCATTGAAATTGTCCCGCTGGGAAACCGGAAATATGGATAAATAGGGAGAGGATCCTGGGGAAGCGTCTAGGTAGTCTTTTGTTGATGATTATACTTCTGTGTTGCACGAGTAAAACGCAGGGCATTGGGCTCTAGTCTATTCAGACTAAGGTTGTTGTATTGTGCTGAATGTGAGGTGTCAGCGCTGACACGAAATGTAACTTGGTGTCCTCCTCTGATTTAGTGTGCTCTTCCTTGGCTGACCGTGCTACTACATAGCATTTCCTGCAGTAGGATGCCTTGGCGTTGCCTGGCGATTGCAGCCGTACCGCATGCCTTGCGCTTTTTGCGGTGTGTGTTTTTAACTGCAGCTACAGTGACTTCATTTTCCCCCTTTCCTTTTTCGTCTTCTCGGCGCGCTGTCCGCTTGTGCTGCAGCACCAACAACAGGAGCACCAGCAGCAACAACACACAATCACTACACCCGCAGGAGTGCCTTTCATTGCACATTCAGCTCATACCTAGTGCAGGCAGCAGGAACGGCTGCCGATTTTGTATACCGAACTAGGAGAAGCAGGTATTGCTGATAGCAGCTTTCTAGCGATGCACTTAGAGCAACACATCCTGTCTTCCCCGCAGCGTCGATAACAGGTGCAGCGTCAGCAGCAGTGTTTTCCCCTTCCCTTCTTCTAACCTATTTTCCATTCTTCAGCAGAGTACGCTTCGACAAAAAAAGGGCAGCAGCAACCATCGCACTACCAACAGCAGTAGAAACCGTTCTTCGTCCGCCAGCAAGGCCTCGCAAGCGCAGCTGCGAGTGATCGTCTTGGGTGCTGGTGCAGCAGGTATTAGGCGCGAGGCAGACAGCGCAAAAGCAGCGCCAATAAAGGCAGCAGGTGTATCCAGCGTAGCAGCAGCAGCAGCTGCTGCTGTGGCAGTAGCAGAGCCAGATGGGCCTGTGGGGAACGCCGGCATCATGTATTTTCACCCTACAGCCCCTACAGTAGTCCCTTCCTCCTCCGTGCCTAGGGAGCTTGAGAAGCAGCTACAAGAAGCGCCGCAACAGCAGCAGCTGCAACAAAGCAGCAGCAGCAACAGTTGCACGTATTCGAACAGGCCATCTATACGCCCTCTCGTTCGGAAGGCTCCTTCGGAGGGGCCGCATCCGTTCCCTGTTGGTCTTGCCTTTTCGTTGGGCAGCAGGAGCAGCAACCACAGCAGCACAAAAGACAACAGTGGAAACTTTGTATGCGCCAAGGTAGTCCCTAGCGGGCAATCCTCTATATCCAGGCGCTGCCTCGCGCCGACACAGCCACATCAACATCAACTGCATCAACGAAGCCATCACCAGTCAGTGCAGCAGCGGGCTTTAAAGCCTCCACCACAAAGGGCCCCCCCTTCGGCAGAGCCTCAGGAGCCGCAGCAGTTGCTGCTACAACAACACAAAGAGCTCGGGCATTTGACCACATCGCAACCTGTACAGTATAGAGTACCATACCGCCGCTACCAAGAGCAGCCAACGCAACAGGAAAAGCATCAGGCTCAGTGCATCTCAGCCTGCACCGCACAGTGCGAACGATTGAAGCAGCAGCAGCAGAGGCAGCTAGTCGCTCAGTGCCGCCCCTTCGGCTGCCAAAGAGCAGGCACCAGGGCACCACATACTGCTGCTGCAATCAACCTTGCCACGGCAGTAAGTGTGCCTCTCCCGCATACGACTCAGCAGAAACCCCCTCATAACCAGCAAAAGGAACGCAAAATGAGTCCTTCATCTCACCTAAGCGCGGCTACAACTTGCGTCATATCTGGAGGTCCTTCCCGGGCATCGCTGCAGCAGCAACAACTGCACCATCAGCAGAATGAGCAGCACAGGAAGCAGCAGCCATATGCAGGAGCTGCAACTACAGCCTACCCGGGGGTGCAGCAGCAGAAGGCTGAAGGCGGCTCGAGCAACAGTACCCCCTCAGCTAGTGAAAACTGCAGGAGAATAAAACAAGCCACAAACTGGCTGGACCTCACCCTAAACAGTGCCTGCGCCCGCCGCTTGACTCTCAGGGAATGCTTCTGCAGCGCCTCTATCACTGCAGATGTCTTGGTACGCTAGGCAGCTCCAGCTTTCTGCACATCATTTGCCGTGAAATGTGGTGCGTGTTCTTGAGCGAGTGCTTTTGGATATGCGGACTGCTTTATCACTTCTCGGCTTTTGCACATTACTTCTCGGCTTTTGCACGTTTGCTGCGCTGCCGCGTTCACTTTTGTTGCAGCAAAACAGTCCGGCATCTCTCTCAGGATCGGTCATATATAGCTCTTCTCTGCTTGCTTTGTCTCGCGGAAAGGGGGAAGGGGACTCCCCCGCGGTGCCTCCGCTGTCCCCTGGAGGGCCCCCTACAGATGAGTGTATATGTCTTACACGGCTGGTCCAGAGCGCCATCTTTGGAGCCGTATTTTCTGCTGTAGTACACTCTCAGCCCGACAGTAGCAACGGCAGCAGCCTCACGAGCGTGAGCAGCAGCAACACTAAGGTGGCCGTGAAGATTCTATCATTGGCAATGCTCCTCAAGAGCAGTCCGTCTCTCCAAGAAGACTTTCTCTCGGAGCTCACGTTTTATGATTGCCTGAAGGGGCATCCTAACATTGTTACTCCCGCTCGGGTGTATGTGGATTTACAGCAACAGCTGCTGCTGTTGCTGTTCCCCTTAGCGGAGTTTGAAGATCTTTTCGAAGTCCTGAAGAAGAGAAAAGAGGCGTTTAAAGAGGCGGAGGTTCGTTAGTTCACCACTTCAGCTCGACTGTTGCTGATCTCGGTTTCTCCTTTTGCATTTGCCGCTGTTTCCAAAGGAGCAACCAGCTTACGCAGCTACAGGGAGGTCAGGAGGAAGTGCGACAGTCACAACTACCGCGATTCAGCGTGGCTCAGGCCCGTCACCACCCCTAGCCTAAAGGCCCCTTACTCAAAGTTTGAATTTCGGAGTCCAGAGTGGTTGTTGTCTCAGGTTCGGTGGATAGCAAGGCAGTTGTTAGATGCCGTGCTCTTCCTCCATCGGAGGGGCGTTGCAATGAGAGGTAATGACTGCAGGCCCCACAACACCCCTCCCTGTCGCAATTCCAAACACCGCTGCTGTGTCTAGGTAGTACTCTCTTATCCTTTCCAGCGTTGCGAGTGGCGCTTGCGGCCGTGTGTGTATATATGTACATGTGTGTATATATGTACATGTGTGTGTATATGTGCGCCAGATCTCTCCCTGGAAAACGTGCTGGTTTTCCGTTGCGAGGCTACAGGGGCCATAGTCCCTTGCCTCACGGATCCTGGCCAGGCAGTGGTGGCCTTGCCCTCTCTTACAGCGGCGTCGCTTGCTGCAGAGCAACAGCAGCAGAAACTGAGGGAAGATGAGCCTTTGGAGTCGCTAAAGCCCGCAGCGATAAGAGACACCGATGCCATTGTCGCGAGGGCGCTCCAAGATGGCTCCCCAGGCGGAGTGATGCTGCCTCCCAACAAACTCTTTGGGAAGAGCTTCAGGCCCCCAGAGGTTTACTCGCGCAGGCCGTAGGCTTCCTATGGCTGCGCTTTTTCAATGCTCGACGCTGCTGCCGCCACAGACGCGGATGCTAGAATTGCTGCCACTGCTTCGGAGGCTCCTGTCGCTGCCGCTCTACCCTCTAGATCGATGCCTTGCCTTGTTGCAGAGTCTCAGTACTTTACTGCTGCTGCTCTTGCCAGGGTTGCTGCTCTTGCCGTGGGCTATCGTTTCCGGTCTCGTGGTACCTTTCGGCACTATTTATATCTGGGATCTTGCTGCTTTTGCTGTCTCTTGTTGCAGATACGATCCATTCAAGGTTGACAGCTTTTGCTTGGGGTGGATGGTATACTACTGTCTCACGAAGCAGCAACTATTCCGAAGGGCGCAGCCTTCTGACGAGTTCTGGTCTATGCTCGCGTCTGAGCATCAGCAGCAGCTCTGGGAACTGCTGCAGCACAAAAACGGAAGCAGGTTGTCGCCGGTTGCGATTGATTTCGTGCTGCAGCTTCTGAGACCAGATCCTGCCAAGCGACTTTCTGTTAGGGATGCCCTTCGGCATCCCTTTCTTTCCAAGGGGCCCGTCTCTGTGGTGTACGCAAACACCCTGCTGCCGCCGCTGCAACACCAGCAGCCGCAGCAACATAACGCAGCAACAACGCCAGCTGCTCACCAGCACCAAACTGATGCCCCAGCCAAGAGGATGCAGCAAGATGCCCAGCGGCACGAGCAGCAGCAGCAACAACAACGACAGCAACAACTCGCGCTGGCGAGATTCCTCCAGCAAAAGGCACAGGCGCTGCAGCAACGCAGGAGGCACGAGTTCCAGCAGCAGCAAATCGCACAAAGAAAAACGGCAGCGGCTGCAGCGCCTGTGGCAGCAGACATGTGGACCGATGGAAACTCCAAGCACAAACAGCCACAGATGTCCAGTATTCAACAGGAAGAGCCAGAGCAGGAGAAGCAGCAGCGAGAGCAGCAGCAGCCTCGGCGTCCTTCCTTTAGCATCCCCAAAAAGCCTCTTCAGCAGTCACCGCACAAGAAGGAAGCACACCAGCAAAAGCACCCGCCGTGTTCTTGCTGCTGCACATCCTCAGAGGACGAGAGGAGTACTGACGCGTCCGCAGGCTGCACCCTCTACGGAGACAGTGACGGCGAGCGGCAACAACAGCTGCTGCTGCAGATGCAGCAACAACGACAGCAAACAATCTCTGCACTTAATGGCTTGCCAACTCTTGCAGGAATCCCTCCGCCGTCTCTCATCCCCAGGACCGCACTCAGCGACCTTTATGGTCCTCCAGGGCCAAGAGAGACGGCAACACCACTGGTCTCAGCCACTTCAAGTGCAGCAGACGTAACAGCAGCCTCACTGCCATACACCCCGCTTGGCTGCTCAAACGCAGCGGGGTTTTTGTCTTTGGGCTCACTGTCTCTGCAGGGCCTCAGGAGTCCCGCACTCTCCGCTGCCAGCACGGCAGCAAGTGGCAGCAGCAGCTTCAGCAGCGGCAGCAGAACGCGGCAGCAAGCTGCCACCGGCAGCAGCAACAACAGCGGCAAATCCTGCAACAACCCCGCTGGACCCATGACGGCAGCACCACCCTTGGGAAAGCCTCTCCCAGAAAGGGGAGTCCCCCGAACCACAGGTAATCTGAAGGCGCTTCTGTCCAGGAGCAACAACGGCAGCAGCAGCAGCAGCAGCAGTAACAACAACAGCAGTAGCGGGATGCAAAACGTTCGCAGTGCACTCAACGCCTTACGCATGGGGAGTCGCATCGGCAGAGTGCTGGGCTCGAAGGCCGGCGGCCTTTGGGGCGGCAGCAGCAGCGATGCACCACTAACAAAACTACCGACAGCTCCAACCCGTCAAACTGTTCATCATTGACGCAGCCTACCCTGGGCAGCTCGGCATCTCGGCACCACCGGCAGCCGGATGTCGCAGTAGAAACAGCATCATGGACGCTTACTTACGGAACGGGAAAACATACAGCGATTGAGCAGCAGAATCCTCTTAAGAGCTGCGGTTTCATGTATGGCAGCACAGGCTGGGCTGGGCAGGCAGCGGCTGCAAACAATGCAGCAGCTTAAGTACATGACACAGACAGGGATGGTAATAGACCTCCCAGTGTACTATTTATATCCATCTAGTGGCACCGGGAGTTCTTTCAAACCACTATTTCGATTCTGATGGTCATTGAAAAGTAATACCGTATGATAGAAGGGTGGAAAGTGAGCGGGCGAAATGAGCAGAGCGTGAAGGGCTTTCCTCGTATTGCAGCACTAGACAAAACCGACAGTGAGATGCATCGCTACGAAAAACAGACGGCGCGACTGTAGGCCCATAGAGTTAAGCACGTTTCCTCCCATGGTATCTGTTCTGCCAACCGTAACAACACGAACGAACATTCATTTACATGGATATAGTGTGTGCATACGATTAGCCTTATAGGACACACAGCTGCAGGGGTGTGCCCTTTATGGTACTCCAGGGCGTTAATGACGTTATTGCCCTGTTTCTTTCTCGGCTGCTGCTCATGAGTATATACGTGGCGGTGGAATTACCGGGCCGGCGCTTTTGAAGGGTGTTTAAGTACGTTAAAAGGCGGGGTTTGTAGGACGAAACAAGGACGGACTGTGGCGCCGTTGAGAAAGTGAGAGAAATAGTCAGAGAGCAGGGCAGTTCACGCGATCCAGCGTCGTGGCTACGCACTTTGCTCGCAAAGCGTGCCTGGGTGTCACCGACGACTTTCTGATTGAAGGACAGGGGGGCTGGCCTCATTGGAAGCTGAGAGAGAGTGCACTGATGTGAGTAGGATTACGATTTAAATATATTTTTAACTTTATTCGGTAAATTCACACAGATGTGTATATTTCTCCCCAGACTGAGGGTGTCTACAAGAAGGGTTTGGTCAAGCGGGTTTTTGTCTAGAGGGGGCCTTACGCCACGGGGCCCCGAGCCTCTGCTAGAAGCCGTGCTGTTCCGTTGTGGGTATATGCGAAATTCAGGCATTTCCAGGCAATTCGGTGCTGTTTTTTTTGGGGAAGTGGTGAGAAGGCGTAGTGTTGGTGCCCCTGCGGGCGATGGCAAGACGGCAGGCAGCTGCGGCTCCACGGAAGTAGCAGAAGCGATGCCGTGCATAATACTCGTGAACTTGCATACCGCTGCAGCTTCTATGCTTTCCTGCTGAGGATGCGCTGTCCCTGCAAAAATAATGACTCAACATTGGCAAATGCCCGTTGCATCCGCAGCTTTCTGCAGCAGCAACAACAACAGCTCGGGTAGCAGCAGGAAGCCCCTCCGGATTCTGCTGCTCCTGGAAGGGGACGCCCTGTTGCTGGATTTTGTAAGCCTGGCCAGATGTGTGCTTCAAGGCCTTCTGCGGCAGCAACTGCCTGCTGCTGCAACTGAAGGCCTCCTGCTGCCAGGGGTGCCCATTGAGGCGGCAGTGGCGAAATGCTCTCTAGATCTGCTGCAGCAAGAAGAACAGCGCATGGAGAAGGACAGAGCATCGACTGCGGTAGCAACTTATAGTGCACGGGTAGCTCAGTTGGTGCAGTCTCTGCAGGGAAACGCGACTATCCTGAGGGCCCCTGCTGACCGAGGGCGTGCAGCACCCAAGGCACCGACAGCAGCTGTTGCTTCAAATAAAACAGCCGTGAGCATCTGCTGTTGCTGGAGCTCCGCTAATGCTGAGGATGCAGGTGCTGCCTCAATGGGCAGCGCCACAAGTACGTGCTGTAGCAGGCAGGCCACCTCTGGCTGCAGCGGCAACAGCAGCTCAAGCTGTTGCAGGCATTTCCGTCCCGACACGGCTTCAAAGGAGCATCACAGAGTATCGGCACCAGCCTCATCAGAAGCTGCAGCAGCAGCAGCAGCAGTTATCCACGGCTTCAAAGTGCTCTTCCAGCGGCTGCTTACCTGCGTTCGACCTCATGTGGGTGCCTTGCGGCAGTTGCGCCGCTGCTGCAGAGAGCCCGCCATAACTGTAGTTTGCTGCACGAGCAACGGCAAACTGGTGCAGCAACTTTTGCCTCTGCAGTTATTTTTGGATAGAGTGACGCATACAGCAGGAACGGGAGGTAGTAGTAGTAGTCCAGAAGCAGCAGAGGCAGTAGCTGCTGCTGCTGCCGCATCGATGCTGCGACCCTGCCATCTGCTGCATATGCATAGCAGCAATGCGGCAGACTTCGCAGCCGCAGTCAGCCGCATTGCTGCTGCTGCCGCCGATGACGCTTTTGAAATGTCTACGGCAGCAGCAGAGGGTCTCTGTGGTCAGAGCGGCAGAAGCTGTTGCGGCTACTGCGCATCTGAACAATTGATGCCGTGGCAACAGCAGCAACAGCAGCAGCAAATTACGGTGGTGGTCGCTGCTTCCACCGAGCCATTCGCAAGGCTTGCTGCTGCAGCAGGTAGGATAATAACTCTCGACCGCTCCCCTCGTGCAGCGGAGGGTGACCCTACTCTTGGTGCTCCTGGCCTTCCCCTTGCATCGCTCTTGCAACTGATTTTGTTCTTGTCACTGACCTTTGCCGCAGGATACACGAATTTCGCGCCATTGACTGCGGATGCAGCAGCCGAGCAGCAGGCAGTGTCGTTCCAGCAACCACAGCGTCAGCCGCACGAGCTCTCGCAAGTCAAGTTGCTCAAAAGCTTCGAGTGTATGGACATCCCCGCGCTTCGCAGAATGCACGGGCTACTACAGCAGCAGCACGAGGCTGGCAACGAGGAAGACGAAGCGCCAACGATGTATGGGGAACGCGTCATTCCATGCCGGGCCGCAGGCCTCCTTGAGAGCAGCAGCGGCAGCAACAACAACGCAGCAGCGGCAAGAGCCGCGGCAGAAGCACAGTACTGGCGTTGGCTGCTACGCTGCGGCTGGGGAAGCTGTTTTTTCCTGCAGGAGCCGCTCGTTTTGCAGGGACGAGTGGTGCGGGGTTTCGGGAGGGGCAGTTCCTTGTTGGGTATCCCCACGGCAAATCTCTTGCTGCAGCAGCAAGAAGAGGCGGAAAACGCGTATGGCGCGGCAGTCGATTTGCCCCTCGTGCCAGGTGCGTCAGCCTTCTGCGGTTCTGAATTGTACTCAAGCTTGTGGGGCACTCTTTTTGCATGCTTTTCTTCATGCGCCTGATGTTGCTTAGTTGCTCCCAGGGTTGAGGAGCTGTTGGCTGCTGCGCTGGGCGCGGTATTAACATGTGCGTCGATCATCGTGCCTCGTCTCCTTGCTTCATGCTGCCCGGTCCAGAATCTTTTTGCCGGCCCGCATGCAGGCATATACTTCGGATGGGCAGCCGTTTTAGACGAGAACGAGCATCCCGGCGTAGGGGAGCCTCCGAAGCCAGGGGGTCCCTGGAAGGCAGTTCTTTCATTTGGGTTCAATCCGCACTTTGCCAACCAGAATGTCACTATCGTGAGTTCCCTGAGGCCTTTCAAGGGGCTGCTGCTGAGCCTCGGCGAGCCTCAGGGCTCCAGGGTCCGCTGGTGGGAGTGCTTCACAAGAGTGCTTGTGTAAATGTGCATGCGAGGGTTGCAGCAGCCTCATTTTAGACCTTATTCTCTTAGATTACGAGCTAGTGTGGTGTCTTGCGGCGTGGTCTTGGCGCTGTCCCTTAGGAGCCCCATTTGTTGACCACCGGGTTTGGCGACCTCAGAGGCCGAGCCTTGCGTCTCGCCATCTGCGGCTTTATTCGTTCTGAGGCCGCATTTGCATCCTTCTGTAAGACACTAGTGTTTCTGCCTGCTTCCTCTCCTTCGACTTCCTTCGTGATGCTGCTGCCTGTTTTTCAATCTTCCGTGCCTCGTGCATCTGTGTCTTGCCTGTCTTTTCCTCCCCTTGCCTTTAAATTTCCCCTTCAGCTTTAACTCCGCCACACCTTTCCAGGCGCGCATGCAGGCCACTGCAGTGGGCGAGTTTCCTTCTGTCTGCGCGCCCCTTTCTTTCCCCTTCCTGAGCTGACTAAAGCCGTCCTCATTCATGTCGCCTAGTCGTGTCTACCCCAGTGTCTGTACTCCTCACACTGCCCGGAAGGCGGCATTCTTGTAGTCGGAGCTTCCTTGGTTGCCATGGTCATTCACTGCAGCTGTCGTTGCTTCCGCCTCATTTGTAGTGTGTGTACCATTTACCTCGATGTGCGGGAGGTGCTATGTACATACTGCAGCGCATCTTGTTACTGCCATCCAAAGCGACTGCGACCTTGCGCTCCTTGCCCTAAGCCTTCTACAGGCCACAGCAGCTCGAGAGGCTCTGCTCTGACTCGGCACGGCAGTCGCAGTAGCAGCGACGGCGTCCAAGCGCTGACCCGAGTTTACACGTGCACCTACAGCAGCATGTACGGCCGCCGAGGAGTCAGCAGCAACAGCCGAGAAAGGGCTGTAAGATGGCAGGGAGACGCGTGCAGCAACAAACCAACCGCTACGCAAGCTGCAACTGTGTGCAGTCCCGCTGCCTGTTCCCCATGTGTCTCTCCGCCTCTCTCCATCTCTGTATCTTCTCTTTTGATATCATCAACTTTGCAGAACATATAACTGCCGGCTATTGTCAGCTTCCAGGGCACGTACACCCACAGGTCCGCGCACGCGGCCTCACTGGCGCAGACCCGACCCCTCTCCGCTCATGCCAACTAACCTCCCCCTTCCTACTTATCCTATTACTGTAACAATTGCTGTCTACCATTCTTGTACGTGCCTCTGACCTATGTAGATTGTCTGCTGCCTACCGTATATACATATACATAAACATATAAACTCTACGTTCGGCGTGCCACCAAATATTTTGCACGTGGCACGGCTCTCGCCCTGAGAATCCCCATCTTCTTCCAGGTCGCAGTGATACGAACGATGAGACACTGCTTCTTCCCTCAGCATGAATTCAAACGGTTAGTAGTTTTGCCGTTTCAACATCAGTGTTTTGTGAGCAACAAAGCTTACGGGTCTGCGGAGTGATGACACGGAAGCCTCCGAGGAGCTGCAGGAGTCTGCCAGAGCAGCAGTTGCTGCTGTGACAACAACTGCTGCCACTGCTGCTGCATGTAGAACGCTACCAAGTGAAACAAAACAGCACAAGTGAGCAAAGTGCCACCTCGCCTACATATGTTTAACCCAAATTTGCAGCACAGCATATGCGCGGATGTGGCAAAACAGTTCAGGCTGAACATAGCTGCTGAAGCTGCAACAAATCATTTAGTTCCGCAAGCACGCACGCAGGAGTGCGAGGGGCTCTTGAGCTGCATGCACACATTGTTGGGTCATTGGTGGCACACGTGCTGCATGATGCTGCAAGGGACTTCGGCAACAGCAACGCGTGCCTTGCTCCAACACAACCAAGCGAACTTTGTCTGTCGCACTGCAGATGGGTTACAGCTTCCCAGCACCATCCGTACATAATTGCGTGTGCGAGGACCTCCGCAGGGGAGGACCTTCTATAGCTCTCCACACCCTCATGGTTGTTCAGCGGGCTTGTCTGCAGGTGCTCCGTCGACTGGTCCTTGTGCTGGTTCTGCAGGTTCACCGCCAGGGAGGGACTGTTTGGGCTGGGGAGGTGGCGGGGGGGATTTCAGAGGGGGGGGGCCGGTGAGCTCAACGCTGAGCTGCTTCCTGTCATCCGTCTTGGGGGCTATTGGGTTGCCTTCTGGCGTACTTGCTGGTGCAGGTTCCTGGGTTGCGGCAGGGGCCTCTCCCGCCGCGGCAGGCGGAGCAGCCTCAGCTGGAGCGGGGGTCGCTGCTGGAGCTGCGGCTGGTACGGGAGTTGCTGCAGGCTGTGAGGCAGCTGGGGGTGCCGCTGCTGCAGCAATGGCACACATGCACACACAAACGAGCTGCTAAGTGTCAACACCACACGTAGTTATCGCTGTGGCACGTAGGGCCAACACATCAGATACACGAATAATCCACCAAAGTCTCTGGAGTGAAAGGCCACAGTGGAAGCCAACTGCCGTCATTGTTGCGTTCATGGGGAACACATCAGAGCTATCTGTCATTGAAGCCGCGGGAGGATCAAAAGCAGTGGCAGTAGCACCCGCACGCATTGAACTCAGAAAGATATGTCACTGAAGTCTGACTAGGTAACGTGAAGGAACGCCAGGAGCCGCTGCACCAGCTGCAGCTGCAACAGCTGCCGCAGCTGCTGCGGGGCGGAGCACCGTCGGCCGCGGAAGTGGATACAGGAAAAGGTGCTACAAAGAACTCAGGGAAAGAAACAAAATGGTTTCCAGTCTAGAGTTGGGTACCTGAAGCAGTGGGCTGCCTCTCTGCTGGAGTGTTGCCCTGTTTGCTAGCAATGCAACCCATCTTCGCTGCTTACGCTACCGCTGGCGCTGCTACTACGCGGTGAGAGAAGCCAAGAGGAGGAGAAACAGACACAGAAAAGATGCAACACGTTGACTTTGAATAGATGCCAAATAATCAACTAGAAAGGAACAATTCGAGAGTCCAAATATGCGGCAGCAGCAGCGGACCTTCTGCTCCTGCTGCTGCGCTGCAACACCCATCCGCGCGCTCCTCTCCTCCCCGCACGGTTTGTTGTTCCTTCCTACTTGCTTATACTAATATTTTGTTCATTCAACTTGTCATTTGCACCCTTACTATTTTTCCTTTTCTGTTTTTCTTTCTGTCACCCGGAAAGCAGCAGCAACCTGCTTCGATGTACTCCTGCTCCAGGGAGCACTAGACCAGCACCCGGTCCGCCGGCTCTGAGATACGTTCTTCTTAAGGAGGGTCACGCAGCATAAACATATCTTGAACATCTTTTTTTGCTTTTTGTGCTACACATTCCCCCCCTGCTTACCCGTGTCAGTGATGGACCTCAGATACGCTACATTGCGTTAGCTAGCGGTGCGGCCTATGGACAGAGTGTGTGTGCAAGGTTTGCCCCAGTCTTTATATTAGCATCCTTTAGAGCACAAGTTCTATTCAAAAACAACTCGATGATGATTCGCGCTAAGATAGTGCTCTTTTTTTAAGCCTTCTTCATGCGGGGTGCCTTTACCACTGCTCCACGTGAGGGTGCGGTGATCCGGTTTGAGGAGTGTCTTAAGGCGACTGATCTGGTGACTTTATCAAAACTCAAGTATACACCAGGCTCAGAACCCCAAGCATATGTATAATCGCTGAAGTTTTCTAAGGATCGCTGTTTTACATATCGCAAGTCAGTGGTTCATGGCTTAGGTGAACGTCATTTGTAGATACTAGAGCACCGCCATTAGAACGCCCCTCCTAAACTCTCCGGGAAGACACACAATCATATAACAAAAACAAACTCTAAAGGGATGCGCGTGGAGCTTCAAAAAATACCTGTTTCTCTCCCTTCTTGTCAACTGGAAGGGGTGTACACCACGCTACTTGTGCTGTGGCTGTTCCACCGAAGGTCGCCGTAGGGCTACGCTAATCTCCAGAGTTAATACACACCTTAGTAGAAAGCTATTGAGGCTCCTAAGATTATTGGTACCTTCTTTGTGTATCCTCGAGCCGCAGAGTTCTCAACATGAGAGGAAGGGTAGAGCAAACGTACGCTTGCCTGGAACGACTAAGGGCAAGAAGCATTCAGTACATATTACCGCTGGACAAGCTACACTTGAACAACTTGTGACAACTAAATATTATAAGCTCAAAACGAATATATTCTACTGATTTGAACGTCTTTACAATACCCCTTTTTTCAAACCACGGTAGCTGGATTCATCCAGATATAGAGATGTACCTGTGCTCTAAATGCTATGTGCAACTACGTAGCAATCCTCAAAATGCTCGGCGAGAGCACATCCTTCTACCCTCATATCTGGGATCCTGAGGGGAGAGGGTAGATAAAGGCAGGATCATGTGAAAACATTCACAAACCTTCTATTGAACGTGTAGTGAGTCTGCATTTCATTGCTTCCCTACAGCGGCTTTTGATGATGGGCTACAGTATACAGCATCGCAGGCTTCGATGCAGCTAAGCCCCACCCA